GTAAGATTCCACCACCTTGCCGACACGGCCGACAAATCACGAAGCACCGGGCCGCAAACAGCTAACCAATCTCCCAAATCCAGAGGTGATGCGTCCGCTGCAAGAGGTGCGAGCTCTGCCTTGCTGCCTCCTCCACCATCTTGCCATGGAAGCGGAGCCATTGGTGGGCCCCCATCAGCACGCCAGCATCCATAACCACCATCATCCGGCGGTCCATGTCCAGCTACAGGCCCAAACATGCCCTCCGCTGACCGCGAAGGATCACACCTAGAAGCTTGCCAAGCCCGATCACCGTGAGATTCACCACCTGGACCAGGAGGACAAACACGAGCACCTTCACGGGGTTCCGGACCATGCATGCCCACCCCAAAAACATGGTTAAGCTCCCGAAGATCATGTCCATGAAGGCCCACAAACGATCCACTTGTCGTCGAGGCAGGTGGAATGTCATGCGAGCACGAAGCAGCAGGTGCAGCGGCACTTTCCGTGATGCGAGCGACCGAATGCTTCAATGCTTCAATTTCTTGTTCCAGCTTGGATGTTCGAGCATCCCGTGGAACGAACACTTGCCCATCTCGCATGCTCTTCGGCAACCACTGCGAATCCCCACGGCGGCCATGACCTTCCACCGAGGTGTAGGCTTGCAAACTAATTTCAGCCGAGTTGCTTGGAAATGGAGGCAATGGCACTTCCGGCAAAGCTTCAGCAGGTGGTGCATCCGGCGGCACTCGAGTCCCGTTTGGTGTGAACCGGGGAATACTCCTTCTAGTGGTTGGACTTCTTCCCCTAGGCGTTCTTGGAGGATCACCTTTCATGGGTTTCCTTTCATGACTGGACGAAGGCTCCTTGGAAACAGCAGCACCTGTCACCCCACCTCCCGGCAGCTCGACTTGCTCCCATGAAGACGGTGTCGAAGAGGGGCCACTACCATGACCATGCAGCTGACCTTTCCTCAACAACTCTACTTCTTTCATCAACTGAGCATTCTGTTCGCTCAGGAATGTCACCATCTCTGATTCCAGGGCCCTTTGAAGATCGTCCGGTCGGTCACTAACCGGGCCCTGCGACTTCGGTGCCAACCTACCCATAGAAAGCTTGGTGGCCTCAACCGAAGAGCCTCCACTGCTGGGCATCACACCCTCCGACTTCTTCCCACCTCCGCCCATTCCACGGCCTTCTCGACGGTTGCTCGGTGGCGTCACGAACAGGCGACCACCCAGGGATCCAAGAGACGCCGCACCGCGCCCCTTTCCCGTTGCCGAGCCCACAGCGCTGTCCTCAAGCGCTGCTTCACCATCAAGATCTCCGTCATGGGGAACCGGAAGATCTTCTGGGCGTGTTGCCCTCAGCATCGCCTCGGCCTTCATGGTGTCACTCCACCATGGATTCACCAAAGGCGCTTGTGGCGGCAAGGACCGCGCTCTCTCCATGACGCGTCCCAGGCCCACCACACCCTAAGGAAAAGTGGTTGGGCTCATAACCCTCAAGCCAAAACTCTTCTTTTTCACTTCAGCAAAATGCCTTCGGGGTGCAGTACAAACGATGCTCTCACCGCTTGAGAACAGTAAATAACTCCGGCAAGCGACCCCAAACTGTGTGGGGAGAACAATTATGAACAGCATTCTTCCTGACACCATTCTGGAGAATTAACCTCTGAGTTAATTCTTTTCCAGGCACGGAAACCCAAATGAAAAAGAATTAACTCAATGTGGGCAGGCTTCCAAAAGAACTAAATCAGGCGTTAATTCCTAGACATGCCCACGGCTGAAAAAGAAGTACCTCCAGAGGTAATTCAAGTCAACAGGTTGTTGAATTGTATAGGATTCCTAAAGAATTCAAGAGTTATATCTGTTTAACTCCTGAATTCTCTCCATTTCATCGGATCACCAGCTGGAGCTCTGGCCATGTATGTTTAAACATGTAAAAACAAATTTCATAAGATGTTATAAGCTTCACATGTCCGGTTCAAAACTCATATCTGCAAAAACATCTCGACTCCAACTGATGAGGCGCCTCACGCAGCTCGCTCGGACCAAGTTTCCACGCGTTACGTGTGGCGTTTCGCGCTCGGCGGACCAAGTTTCGGCGTCCTTCTCCTCAGCCTTGGCTCGGTCCTTCCGCACCATCTGGGCGCCAACCTATGCCACGGGCCCATACCATCGGTCGGGTTTCTGATGAGAAGAGAAAACGACTTCGGTGAAGCTGGCTGCCAGGCTTTTGAAGAATTTGATAATATATAGATAAATCAGGCGTTTGACCCCCTTCAAGACTTTTGGCTCAAGCTTTTGAATAAAAGCCGTTGTGACAAAACAACAGGTAAAGAGTCTCGATCAAATGATACATCGCTGAGTTTTCTCAGCGTGATTTTCAAGTTGTGAGCCCAATGGTTCAAGAAGACCCAAACCTCTGGAGTGGCACCATGTTGTGATTTTTGGCCCGGCCAAGCTGCGAAGTTTTGGCAACAGGCATACACGGCCTTCGATTGTTTGAGAGAAAACATGGTGACAATGGTGTTGGAGGCTCGTTTGCTTCTGCGCATCTGCTTTGGGCATTGATTCACGGGGATGCACATATTTTCCAACATCATTAATTACATCCATCCATCCAGCCATTCAGCCATACATAATCATCCAGGAGTCACAAAGGGGTGGTGTTTCGTCCCATCCAGTGAGTGGATAATGGGCACCCCGAACCTCCATGGGTAGCACCCCTTTGTCACTGCTGGATGATCTCTGGGGTCAAATCTGCCGAGAGGGTCCACGCGTTTCAATTGGTGTGGCAGGTTCACTCGCCAATTTCGGCTGATCAGTGTTCGAGGACTGCAGACAGTCAAGACCTGCAGCTGACCTGCAGCAATTGTTGTTCAGTCGGACCATCTTGAAGCACAACTTTCCCACGGATTTGTTTTTTTCTTTGAAAGCATTTCTTTGGAATCACCTTTCTAGTTCATGAAACAAACATGAGCAGACAAGTATTGTGTGGTCACATCGTAAGCAACGTTACATGAGTGGAAGATCCATGCCATTCGCCCACCATGAAGATGATCTTCCCACCTCCACTGCATCACCACAGCGGCGCCCCGACCCAGCGTGACCCACCAAAGCCACTCGGCTGCGAGACCGACGAGTACGACGAGTACGCGTCGTACGCGTACGACGCGAACCCCAATGCGCGATGGTGGCCACCAGAGGTCACTTGTTCACATCAAACCACAAATCCAAAAGGATTTAATATACGTACCACAACCATACATTAGGATACAAGAAGGCGACGCATCTTTGTAGTTCTTTGTCTTCTCTTTCCAGGTATAGTTTAAATCGAGCCAGGGAGCCAAAAAGAACATACCACAGTGATGACTCATCGACTCGTAGCGTTGTTCGACAAATTACCAAACGCTCTTGGAGACCTGGCCAACCTGTGTCTGCGTATACCCTAGGCTTCCAACAACCATTGTTTTAATGGTCTTTACCGCTAAGGATTTTACACTACGCAACCAAGTCAACCAAACCTTTGAATGGTCTTGGAAGCCTAGGGTATAGAATATATAGGGACACCCCCAAAGACCCGTGTAAAGGACAGGCAAACCCATAGGTGGTAACATGTTGTAACATCTGATCAGACCCAACCTTCGATGTGTCCACACCGTGTTGTCGTTGCTTCAATGCTTCCCTCTCGTTGCGGACCGATGCGGACAGAGGGAGAGGTGTCACCGGACAGCGTTTGTTTGTTGTGTTGGGGACGAGGTGGAATCGATGCCGAGCCCAGAAAGGCCTGTAAAAAGCCCACCAGTGTAAATAAACTGACACGACTGATGGGACTATATTTTTTTTTTAGATGCCGCCCGCCAATGTAAAAAGACTCTTGAACATAACTATGGCATATGGATGCATATGGCATACATGGAGTGTATCGGTGTATAAGTTTAAAATCTAGAATCTATAGAAGAAGGTAGAAGAAGTGATCTGCGGAAAAACATGTTCCAGCAATGGTCACTCAAGGCTTCAATCGCTTATGCCATACCCTGTCCTAGTTAGCACAAAAGATTGCTCTTTTAGCTGCTGTCGTGCCCGGTCGTGGCCGGTCGTTCTGACACCAGTTTGACAGGGGATGTGCGAGGGTCATGTCCTGCATCCCGTTCACGGAGTTCACCGCTTCTTTCGTCGTTCGTTTGAACCTTTGCAGGTGATCTTGCTCTTTCAGGATTCCATCAGCACCCGATCCTCCCAGATCCCGCATCGAGTCGGACCAAGTCCGGACGGACACCCTCGGACAACCTGGCACGGACGCCCAGGCCCGGTGAAACCCGGTGAAACGGGTGAAACGCTGCACCGCTCACGGTCACGGTCCGTGGTGTCTGCACGGTCACGGGACAACGCCTCCGACTGCTGCGCGGTTGAGGTCTGTGTGTTGAACGTTGGACCGGATGTGACCCCTGGTCCCACCGCTGTTATGGTCATGAAGAGGTATCGAAAACGTGATCTGAAAAAACGAAGAATTCAGTCAATATCCGGTACTTGCATCCATTTCAACCCATTGTTGTGTCGTCATTGGTCTTGGTGACAGCGTTGCATGTTTGGTCTGTTCGAAGAGATTTGGCGGCTGCGGCTGCGGCTGCCAGGTTCCAAGATTGTGTCAAAAAAGGGGAACTTGTATTACTTGTATGTGTTGAAAAGCTGCTGAGAGCTTTCATCCGTTTCATCGGGTTTGTTCTCTTTCACCGCGGTGCGCGTTGAATCGAACGATGATCTCCAGACAGAAACCATGGTCTCAAGAGTGTTGATGTCGTCCGCCGGTCCGTCAAAGGGACCACCGGAGCACCGGGAATTCATTGGAAATCCATCCAAAAAACATCCAAAACGGTCGACCAACCAATAGAGTGAGCTCAAACAGTGATAAACATCCTCCTCCCCCCACTCCACGCCATCCTAAGCCATCCACTCTCACGCACCGTTCACCCTTCACCACCATCCCACCGACCCGACCCCGTTCACCGCCTCCGTTCACAGCGTGGGCTCCGAGACCGATCCCCGCAGCGACTGCTCGGACTGCGCGGCCGAGCGTCGGGGCGGCGGTCCGGTCGACCGGGGCGAAACGCACGCGGAAGGCCTCCCAGCTTGTCCAGGTAGACCAGGGACCAAGCTAGCTGTGATAGCTGTTTTTGGTGGCAGGTGTCAATGTCTGATGTCAGGTATACATCTTATGCTTGTCATGTCGTTCACTGTTTTGGTGTCCAGGGAACGACCGTGTTGGAAGAATGACTGGTGGAAACGATGGGAACGATCAAAAGTCAACTTCACAAGTCTTTAATGAGGTGATCAGGAACAGGAACTTGATGGAACTATGAAGCTCGCAATGGTATGAACTTGATGGAACTATGGGGTCTTTGGGTCCTTGTCAAGTAGCGTGAGTTTCAGAAAGGAACCGAGGAAACAGCAAACTGGAACTCGGGCGTCTTTCAACTCGCTGGGGGTCCAAACCATGGATTTACCACCCCAATTGATCGGCTAGGCATATTATATATGGCAGTCCCATGGAGTGTGGGACTGGGTTTCACAGTTGGTGAATACTGAATCCACCTCCACGAGTGGGATCCTTCCATCATATGGATCCGCCAGGGTCTACTGGAGGATCCTCACGTTCCTCTCGGGGAATCATCGGACCACGACGGGTCAAGGGTGGGCGCCAACCTCAACTCCAAGGCGCGTGGATCTGGCGCCGAGCTACGACACGTGGTCTCACTCTCTCTACAGGTCACCAATTGAGACCGGCGCTTATAGGGGCCAAACAACAACTAGCAAAGAAAGACCTGGCAATGCCTGGCAGTGAGGCTCATTTTAGCATCTTCTTCGGGCGGTACTCGGCTTGATCTATGTTGCTCTAGATCCATGCCTGACAAGATCAAGAAAATCAAGTTCTGATTGAAACGCAAACCAGCTCCCTAGGCTTCCAACAACCATTAATTTAATAGGCTACACTACAAAAACCAGGTCATTCCCATTGTTTTAATGGTCGTTGCCGGAAGTCAGTCTAGGGGTTCCCTGGCGAAAGAAGGACGCTCTGGTCTCACCCTCCCCAAACGCTCCGACGAACCGACGAACCGACGCGGTCTCACCGGTCTCATCCGGTCTCCGGTCTCCGGTCTGAGCCGCGCACCGGCGTGTCGGGCCGGCCAATGGCCATCGGCTTGCTGGCACCTGTGCGGTCTTCCGACACGAAGGACACTTGGAGAGTCGAGACACGAAGGAAACTAGCTATAGGTTGGGTCTATCCTACCTGGGCGTGGATGATGATGGGGCCTGGTTGCAGGCCGACAGTTCAACAAATAGATCATTGTTTAAGGACCTGTTACAGGTAATAGGACAGACGCTAAGTATAGGTATACGTAGTACATGGTAGGTATACCTACTTCATGCTCCATGAAAACAGCCCGACTGGGGTCTCAAAGCCGGATTGGTTCGACCCCAGACTTGTCCAGTAAAAAGCCATGGTCGCCGCGCCGGACATGAACAAGAAATCCTGAAGCAATTCAGATCTTATGGGACATGCCACGATCTACAGCCTGTTGGATGCCTTTGCACACATCCCCAAGAAAAAACATGCACCACCTTTTCTTGGATTTGCTGTCCAGGAACACAAAAACAACATGAATTCATCTCCCCTGTGCCACAGGAATCTTCCAGGAACCGGGACTATCCAAATCCACCCAGAACAGCTGCACTGCGGGTTTCACATCCAGTGCGAAACCTCAAGTCCCTTCAAGCCTCTTGTCTTCCCCAAACACGACACATGGGACAGGCATCTTGTACCGATCAGTTGGGGTGAGTTGACCGAGGGGGTCGTTCTGATGTGTCGAATCTGTCCGTCCCATCAGTCGTGCCTGAGTCTATGAGGTCTATGAAAGCATATGAAAGCTATGCCCTAGGCTTCCAAGACCATTTAAAAAATGGTTGACTTGGTTTTTGTAGTGTAAAATCCTTAGTTGATTCGGTAAAGCCTATTGAATTAATGGTTGTTGGAAGCCTAGGGATGGACTATTCTCAGGAGCCGCGTCTCTAGAAAAACCAAAGCCTTCAAAATGGACCTTAAGAAAGGTCGCACAACCACATCAAATGGATCACGAGACCACACCAACCAGACCAGACCAACCAGACCAGACCAACCCAGGTGCACGTCGTTTCCGACCAGACCCGACCGTCAGACCGTCCGACCATCCGACTTCCGCCCGGTCGAGTCGGTCGGGTGGAGGCGCCTGGGATCTTCCCCGGTCCCAACTGCGACAGGAGGCGCCGTCGCCGGAGCTCGCCTCAAAGCGCCAGAGACGCATCCGTCGTTGAGGCCGAGAGGGGAGAGGGTGGATGTGTTTGTTGTGTGTTTCTTTTTTTGTTTTCAGACGTTTTGGTCGAATTCAAACCATCGTCACGTATGATTAAGTATACTGTATATGTTTTGTGATCAACATTTGAATGCATGGTATATTTCATGATAACATACATGTGTATAATTAACATGTAGTATATACATACGATTGTTATATTATCAGCATCTATCAGCTACAAGTCTACATGTATATAAAATAGTATAAAATATATATATATATATCACATATTGTGAACTCGATTCAGGTCTTGGCAGTGATATGGTTTTGAACAGATTTGGAGCGAACCCAAGAGGTGAAGCAAATCAGAATTTTGCAGGTTTTGACCTACACCCAGAGGGACTCGCAGGTGAACTCTTCGCTCTTCACTGTTCTTATTCCTTTTTATTCCTTTTGTGTGTGGTTGCGGTTGGGATACCCTCATTCAGAGACATGAGAGCTCTACGAGAGGTCCGATGCTGAGGCCACGTTTTGGGGGGGGGGCCACACTATACACGCCACACTACACGGCGAGCGGGGCGTCCGCTCACTGCAACCTTTACAGGTCGTGCGAGCCCAAACGTGGCTTCACCCGAGGTCGAAACACCTGTGGGTCTGAGATCCCAGTTTACTGGAAGAAGATGGATTCTGTCTTTCCTCGGTTATGCGATGCGATGAGTCACATGGAAAAGCGAACGCCCCTCGGCCAAGCAAGGGCGAGCCCCACTGCAAGCAGAGCCCAAACGCTGTCAGAACGCCCCAAAAAAACAGATCAACGACCTAAGGTGAGACCCTCTCCTCATCCCCAAATGCATGTCTCAAATTACTAAGAGAAAACTACAGTCTCAGTATATATACATAGACTCCGACTCACGTTCCATGGTTACGTGGATGACACCGAATACCTGTTGGCACTCCGAATACCTAACTCAGGTGGTGAACTCCACTCCCCACGGTTCGTCCACGTGTTCGTCCGGACCTTTGACCGCTGCTCCGTTGGACTCCTGCGACCTGGTTCCACCTCTGGAACCGTCTGAAGGCTCTGAAGTCTCAAGTCCCAGAGCGATGAAGGAAGGAAGAATTCGCGACTCTCGAAGTCTAGCTGGGCTAGTCAATTCAGATTCACTTCTTCCAGGTCGGGCATAAATTCCTTCCATCAACAGTGTGATACAAACAGCAGATTCTCATTCTTCTGATTCTGTCCACGTACTTCACTTCCGGTCATCGTTCCCGCCGGATTGCCTTCTCCAACCCCCCGACTTCCGCACCGTTCCGATCCTCCGCACGATCCGCATGGGAGGGCCTGCCGATCCGCACCGCCCCGAAACCCCGCCGCCTTCCCAAACATCGAGAGATTGAACCAGGCGCTTGCAATCTCGATCCTGGCAACGCTTCAATGTCGACCGTTTTTCATCGGACCCGGAACACCGGTCGGGTACCGACCAAGTGGGGATAGAGCTGAGCTGAACCGTCGGGTTCGCGACCCCCACCTCTGTTGCTGGCGGGAGCGCCGGAGGTTGAACAAACCTCTCCCTGTGCGCCGCGCCTTTCGTTCGGCGGTAAAATTCCGTGCCTTGGAACCCCACCCTTCCATGAATCCGCCGCCCCAAAAAAGCAACTCTTGTTTCAATGGTCCTCCTGCAGTTGAGCTCAGTTGAGCTCTTCATTTGGTGGACAAAAAAACAAGCCAAGCGCACCAAACGTGAGTCCCATCTGAGGTGTATAGACTTGGATGATGTTGCCACAGCAGCAGTGAGTGTCCGCCCAACGGTGGGAGAACCACAGTTTCGCGCATCGATCTAGCGATGTTGAGACGAACGGACCAGGAAAATGACTCCATCCAAAGGACTCCAGTCCCATGGATGGTCTCGGAAGGGTCTTACTAAGGATTTTACACTGCAAAACTGGGTGCGGATTTTTAGATCCGGGGGACCCCCGAAATCCTGCCCCGGTAGGCTGGGTAGACTGGTTTATATATGTCCTTTCTTCCAGAGGCTGTTGCCGGGGTCAGTCTCCCTACTTTTGATACACACTCACCAACAGTTACAGTCTCCAGGACCTTCAAAGTGACCTTTTGAGATCCTAGAATGAGGTCACTTAGTCCCTAAAGAGGTCACTTAGAGACTCCAAAGAGGTCACGTACTGAAGGTCCTGGCTAATGAACATCCAATTTCATATCCTTTCATTCTCACATGATACGCTGGATGTGGGAGGCGAGAAAAACTCGTTGCTCAACAAACGTCCAGATACGCCGAGCAGTGAGACGACCCTACCCCTAGGGCTCCAAATACCGCCTGAGAAGGTGTTTGGGGTGGGTTTAGAGGGTCCTTGGAGCCCTAGGGTACATATTCCCTAATTAGAAGTCCAGTTCGACGATATTTTGACCGTCTGCATGTGTTCAGGATCTTCCTAGACTCGGGTCACCTGCTAAAGACCATTCTTTTTATAGTCGACGGGACTTCCAGGGTAGTTTTGATCCTCCTTTTCTCCCGAGCCGTGTCGGTCCCTGGAAAATAAAGGTTCACCGAAGTCGGATGTCCCCTTTTTCCTCCAAAAAAGGGCACTGACTGGATGAAGTTGAGGCGCCCTTCCTTTTGCGTTTTCTTTGCGTCTCTCCCATTACCAGTTACAGTGGATGATGGGATGATTTTGGTTCAGTTCCAGGCCTTTCTTCAAAAAAGTGATTCGCTTGTTTACTGACGGCTTAGAGCCGGTCACTTCACACGAACGTCCCTGCCGAGCCATGCTCACCATGCTCCGCATGCTCCGCCTCTTGCCGCTCCTTCTCCCGTTGCCTGACACACACGTGACGCGTATCACACGGGGTCGAAAAGGGTAAGGGGATCCAGTCAAACACCCATTCAAACCATGTTCCCTCCGGAAAACTCACGGACCCGAGTCCTGTCTGGCGCCCTGGAAGAGTCTTTTCCTCTAGCAACCAGTGGTTTTCAGGGTCCATGTTAGTTTTCAGGGGTAAAACACATCAGAAGAACCCCAACAGGGTAAAACAAGGGACAACCCTACACTACATCTTGATTGGACACCCTCTGGCTGGTGCTTGTGAATTCAAAAGCCCACCGATCGGCACTTGTGAAATCGAAAAAAAGGAGAAGATCAATCTGGAGTATATATTGAAACAATTCATCACATCGGATGTTCCTGCATGTTTCATCAAATGGCTGGTCGTTGCGTCAAGAAACAATTTATAAACAAACATTGACTCTACCGCAAAAACGGGGTCTTCTGAATGCAAACTTCGACCGTACTAAAAGTTGCTATTGTGCTTGTTCTCACAACTGGTGAAGCCAGCAGCAAACCCGACGGCACATCCGAAGTCTCATGCTTCGCAAATTCGTTTCAAATCTTCTGCGGCTGTTCATTAAAAAATTGTGCAAAAGATCAGATCTGAGCCTTTTCACCCACGCTCCCCAACGTGTCCCACCGACGGACACCGTCCAGCCCATCTCGGAAAGCCGTCTGAACGACAGACTTGTCGCCGTCGAACGGAGCGATCGGACTCGACGAACGGGGCGCTCCTGGGCTTACTAGTAACAGAAGCTACCAGGGGGGGCTCCTTGCATCGCTACTAGGAACCCAAATAAATCGCTACTCGTAACAAGAAGCTACTAGGTGGAGGTAACTTATGTGTTCTTCAAAAGAACTGAAAACGACTGATGTTCAGGACAAGATCTATGATCTGTCTATATCTTTTGTTGTTTCTTGGAAAACCACACCTATCAACCCATGCCTTTCCGAAATCTGAGTAGGGTTCACCTGTCAGCACATCTAGGTGCTCCAATTCCGTCCAATTTCCTCGGCTTTGTGAGAGCAACAAAAAGCATAATCCAAGGAATTGTGTTCTTCGTTCGCAGATTGTCATGTCATGTTGACTGCGATTCATTCAACTTGCCAATATATGAAGATGTAAAGCCATTCTGAAGATCAGGGGATTGATGTATGAATCAACTGTCAACATCTATCACATGGCGAATGAAGAAGAAAACAAAAAAGAAGAAGAAGAAGCAGAAGCTCTCTCCAACTCATGAGGGTTCATGTCCCAGGAACGATTAAAGGCCGAGCTGAACCCTTCGGAAGCGATGATTTGGCCTCCTCCGCATCTGCTGCATGAAGTTGTGCGCAAAGGCGTCAACCTGTCTGCGCATACATGTCAACAATGAATCTGATCATGAAGAAGGAAGACACCAAATTTGGGTGTGTCTTTTGAGACGGAGACCCCCTATTAGATCCGGTGGAAAGAACATATGGCCAAAAGAATCCAAAAGACACATTCATTGGTTGGGAATACGCTGGAAAAAAATCTCCACTTTAAAAACACACCCATCTTTATCAGATCAAGATGTGGATGGTCTTCATGGTCACCTTTACAGTACATTGATACTTGTCATTGAACCGTACCAACATGAAAATCACGAATTGCAGGTTGACAGTCTGAACATTTCATCCCTTGAGTTTGGAGCACTTTTCTTCGATCTTCAGGCGAAAAGCCGAGAGCTGGAGTTTGTGGGGAGTCCAAGGGGTTTTGACACCAGGAAAGGGTTACAGTGGTTTCAGAGTAGATGGCACAATCCCCAAAGAATCCAAAAGGTGGTTTATATGGACCCCGTATAAAAAACACGTGGGGGTGCCAGTGCCGTCTGCCCTGAAACCATTGTACTTATTGTATCTGTTCCGAGGAAAAGGGCGTAACCCATGTCGAAAAGAAAGATCAACACGTAGGCAGAATCTTTCGACGGATCTATAGCCCTATAGGACAGATTTGCATTTTTTGTTACCCTGTATTTACATCACCGGCCTGTATGTCTGGTCTATACCACCATCACCTAGATCGAAGGATTATTGGAACATAGGGTATAGGGACTGGTCTAAGAGGGTCTATCAACCACCCGACAGCTGCTCATCTGTCCCCCCCTTCCTTTCCGGCTGTCCTTGGCATCGTACTTGTCCTCGCTGTGCTTCCGTTCGGGACGCGGGACCCAGGTGCCTTTCCTCGGACCGCGCGGGGGGGTCGGTGAAAGACGTGTCTGAATACCCTGTCGAAGTCCAGTTCGACGTGGACGGACTGAAATAAGGGAAATGCCTGAAGTCGGGTCACCTAAAGACCATTCCTTTGATCGTCTTCGACTCCCAGAAAACTACTGCGCGGACCTGCTCTACTAACCCTTATAAGTCAAAGCTAGGCTTAGCCAAGCTTAGCTAAGCAGGGTCCGCACAAGTAGTATTTTTAGACCGCATGAAAGCTTAAGCGGATGGTCTCCCAAAGGCCGCGCCGAGTGGCGATGGTGTTCGAGCAGATCCTGAAAACATCTTCTCCGTTTCGGGACCAAGCAATCGCGCGAGGTGTTTATCTACATTGGCGTATGTGAAAAGCGATCAACGTGAGCATATATACATACAGTATTACAAAAAGAGTCTGGGAAAGACCCATTCAGAGTTATCTCTTCCATATCGTCAATGCTGCACACCCCAAACCACTCCGTCACCCCAAATCCAAGACCTGATAGGACCCGACTGGGGTACCCAACTGGGATAGTCTATAGGGTTCTTCAACCTCTGTTGGAAAGGAACCAACGGTCTTCAAGACGCGCCCAACTCGCCGGGCCACGGAGGCACCCAGGGCGGCCATGCGCTGATCTTGTCGGGCTCGGTGGGCACAGGGCCGGGCCTTGGAGAGGGAAGACACCGAGGGAGACTGAGTGAGCGGTTTCATAGGACCCGAGCGACCTGGGGTACCCAACTGGGATAGTCGAGTCGGGTTCTGACCCACCTCTGTTGGCATCACGTGACAAATGGAAGATCCATGCAAAGCCACAATATGACAAAAACTATGAACAAATCCTTGGAAGATCCATGGACCCGCATGAATGCATGGCAGAGGCCACACCGGTTTCCGAAAACCTGTAAACATAATGTGTATCATAAATGCCTGAAAACCCAGGCATGAACTCTGTTTTGATCGGACAAAAACAATGGTTTGGCTCCAAGACAATGGTCAATCAGGTTCTACATATATATATATATATGTATGTTGTATACATAACATAAATATTAGATTAATCACGTCAACGACTCGCGACCAAACACCATGAATGGACGTGGTCCGCACGGTGAGAAACGGTGGAACCACGAAGAGCACGATCAATGGCATGAATCGTCTTCCGATCCAGAAATAACCGAAACACTGCCAGAACTCTTGTTTTTGTTCAATCGCATGTTCGGTGTTTTTTTTGTGTCGGGTAAAATCCGCAGAAGCATGTTGTTTGAACCTTTCAATCCAATGTCAAACAGTATTTGTTTTCAAACTGAAGAAGTTGCCTGCCGATATCTTCAATGTCAAAGAACATATATACGATATATATGCATGAGATCGACAAAATGAACATGTTCTACAAAAACACAACTCACCAAACCAAGACCAATGACACGTTGAGCGTTTTCACTCAGCATCCAGGCACGCATCGCCTGCTCGGTTTCCATACCACCTGAAGGGTAAGTGTGAGATCTCGTCCAAACACAATGGCCTTCACTGCAAAATATAAAAACACGGATTATATTATGAGGCCCTTCAATACAAACCAGGAACATCTAGTACTCTCAATTTGGGTACAAACCTGAAAACTTTGGCATTCAATTCTTTTGCAGTACCAAGACATCTGCACTGATGTCCAGCCCGTTGTGGAGTGAAGGCAGGGATGGGGTCAAACTCTGCAATTGAATTGGAATGATTTCAAATTGACAGAACAATTGAACTATCATGAACGGACCTCTGATCTTTTCCAATGTCAGCCACCTGTCCTGCCCAGTGGAACAAGTTTGGCCATTTCTCTCGCTCGAGAAGAGGTTTTGAGGAACAGGTTCACGCTTCTGGGGTTTCAAAAGGCTATGTTTCCAAACTGGAGACTTCCTACCACAAGCACCCATCCAGAAGTAGCCACAAGAAAACACAGAATATCTTTCACTCATCGCGAAAGGGAACACTCTTAGACCCTACTGTAACATTCGGGTTGTGAACCAGTTCATGGATGTTTTCTTCACTGGTGAGTCCACAGTAAGTGAGGGGATCATGGACACCCATTGCCGCATTGCCCTCCAGCCATCAAAGCATGATTCGTTGAAGGAAGCAGACCCTACACGTTGCACGCTTGGTGTTCATGTTTGCGCTTCAACTTCCAGTGTCCCTGGCCGCAGCACCCGCCTCTTGCCCGCGCATGTCGCCATTGGGGTGCGAACGCTTGCACTGGCAGACGCAGCCGGTGGAAGGGTCAAGGTGCCATTGACTGCTGCTCAAGTGACTTACCCCTCTTCTGACCCCTGGGAAAATCTGAGACTGAACCCTTTAGTTGGGAGGTCCTCTACCAAGGTACAAACCCGTATCAGCAATACTTTGATGTGAAAACCATGTCCACCAAGATCTGCTCCATTTAGTTCCGCCTGACCTCGCCAGCCGGTTTCAAATGACGGAGACACATTGGAAACAAGAAACCCTCTTTGATTCTCTTTGTACACCCTCTCTCTATGGTTGGCGTGTTCATCCTATGGGTGTTGATGGTCGATGGGCCCTGCATAGACAATCCTTGTCTATGACAGGGCGGTGTTGTCCACATGCACGGTTCGTCCGTCCTTCCAAATTTTCCGGCCCAATCCGCGCTTGCGGTTGCGTTCGCACCCTCAGACCAACACGCACGAAACTGTAGACTGAAGGTCGAATCATGTGAAGGCACTTTTTTTGGACCAACAAGGATCGAACTACTCTGTGCTCAAGACCAGATCCGCCCAAGCGAGCCTTCGAAGGTTGGGCAAAGACACTCCAGCTAAATCAGAGTTGAATTCTCCACCTAATGTCAAAGTCTGAAGACTGCTAGGCAAAGCTACACCGTCCAAGCTCTGCTGAAAGCTATGGCCAAATGCCAAAATCTGCAGACCACTAGGCCAAATCACGCCGGCCAAGCTCTGATTGAAGCTGTTCCCAAAAGCCAGACTCTTAAGCCCGCTTGGCCAATCCACATGCCACTTCGCCTCCACCAATCTCTGATTGAAGCTGTGCCCGAACGTGAGACTCTCCAAGCTCGGCGGCCAGGACACTGCGACCAGGCTCTGGTTAAAGTTGTCTCCAAGGCACAATCGTTCGAGGCCACTCGGCCATGCCGCATCTGCCAGCCATTGATCAAAGCTGTGGCCAAAAGTCACACTCTTGAGGCCATCGGGGAACTGCACTCCTCGCAAGCTCTGGTTGAAGCCGGTGGCAAATGTCAAGCACTCCAGCCTCGGAGGGAAAGTCACACCGACCAAAGGCTGGTTGAAGCCATTTCCGAAGCTCAGCCTCTTCAGGCTCCGAGGCAGCGCCACTTCCGCCAAGCTCTGGTTGAATCCATCTCCCAGCTTCAGACTCTGCAAGCAGCTTGGCCACTTAAATCCTGCCAAGCTCTTGTTGAAGAATTGCGCAAACACCAAGCTCTCCAGGCTGTCCGGCAAAGCTGCTCCATCGAAACTCTGGCCTAAATCAAATCCAAAAGCCAAGTGCTGAAGGTTGCTCGGCCAGGCCATTTCTTCAAAGCTCTGGTTGAAGAGAGAATCAACTGTTAGACTTTGAAGGCTGCTGGGCAAAGCCACTGACGACCAATTCTGGCTAAAGCAACGACCAACCAGTAAAGACCGGAGGCTTTCCGGCCAAGGCATTCTCTCCAAAGGCTGGTCGAAGCACTCGCCAAATGTTAGGGTCTCAAGTCTGCTCGGCAAAATGACCCCGATGAAGCTCTGGTTGAAACCAAAGCCAAACGTCAGATGCTGAAGGGCGGCTGGCAAGACAACTCCAAGCAAACTTTGGTTGAAGCTATGCCCGAAGGTCAAGCTTTGAAGGTCCGGAGGCAAAGCGATATTCTCCAAACTGCTATTGAAACTAAGACCAAACGTCAAACTCTGCAGGCTGCTGGGCAAAGCCACACCTGTCAAGCTCTGACTGAAGCTATTCCCAAATTTCAAGCTCAACAGGCCCCTGGGCCAAGCAACTCTAGCTAAGCTTTGATCGAAGTCGTTCCCGAACGTGAGACTTTAAAAAAAGAGCGTATAGACGATGACTATCACCATCATTGCCGAAGACATACATGGAGAGTAGCCAGTGCGAGCCGCGCGTCACCGCACGGCAAAATGACCTAAGTGGCCTTAGTCAAAGCAAGCCAAGACGTGAGACTTTGAAGACTGCTCGGCCAACACAGGTCCGCCACACTCTGATTAAAGCTATGCCCGAAGGTCAAGCTTTGAAGCTTACTCAAATTCTTCGCCAAGTCCATTGCAATCAACGGTTGGTTGAAAGCATGACCAAAGCTCATGCGCTCAAGGTCACGCGGAAACGTCTCCGCCCTCAAACTCTCGTTGAAGGTCATCCGAAAGCTCAGGCTTCGCAGCGTCTCCGGAAGTGCCTGGAGTAGCTTTGCACTACTCACTCCTTCCACTTGGGTGACTCCTTCTAGGGCATATCCCGGATCTAATGAATCACCTTTGAGGGCGTTCAAGGCGTCTTTCAGGGAGGTCGCAGTGTACAAGTAGGACCATGGCTCCGAGCTCCTTCCCTGATCAAGTTGCTCCTTCCGGTTTTGAAAGACCATCACAGGTGGGGACGTGGGTTCCCGCGCACAAAGCGAATTGGACCCTCCAACATGTTCTGCAGCTTTAATGTGCTTTCATAACTTTATTGAACAGTGTGTAGAACAATTGTTCGAAACATGAAGGGAGTGACTGGGCTGCGGGTGCCAAACACCTGCAACTGGAGCCCCTGCTGACCCGTGAGTCCTAGAACCAGTGTTTCGGGTCGAGGTCTGAGCAAAGAGGGTGTCATTGTTGGCTCTTTTTCTGATAGAATCTCGGTATGCTGGATCGAACAACTGTCTGACTGTCTGACTGTCTACTGACATCCCATTCCTCGCGAAACTGCATGAGACTAGGTTTAGTATGCTGTAGTGTGCAGAATCACGTAGGTTTAGTTTCTGTGGCACCGCCTAAATTACATAAAACAAACCACAAAGCATGGGCATCCCCCTGCTTGCGAACCTACTGCATCATGTTTGGCTCACTTTCTGAATAAACTTGAAGATTGTTCCCTGCCAATTGGTTGGAATTAATTTAAACTGGCTTGTCTTCAGGAGAAAGCAAACTGTCTGAAAGCACAATGTCCTCTCTCTAAAACTATGGACACTCCCATCAGTTGACCCAGGAACCCTGCGAAAAAGGGTCGTCCACCAGCAGTTGAGCTCCTGAAGGCTCTCCATCTGAAGCACTTCACATCCTCTCTGTAGAACAACTCCAGCAGCGGCTCGAGCTGGTAGCCGTGCGGAGACCCTGTGCCGTAGCTCACGGCCAGTGATAATATTCGGCACTTGGATCACGAGCTCTTCGCCCTGCAATCCTTGCGGAACGGAAGAAAGGGGAACAGGTTGCTGATGGTTGGTCGCTGGGTAGGTTGGTCTGCTGGAGAGGTCAGTCTAAGAGAGTCATTTGATATCATTTTGGTGTATTTTGGGGTGAGCAGACTCTGGGTGCTGGCATGAGGTGCAAACTCCCAAGGTTGGCACTGAGGTTTTTTGATCCAAGTGGGTGGACCCCCTGGGCCCAACCCCATTGGCGTCCAACCTCCTGAGTCGGACCTCAGTCGCCGTGTGTAGACAAGACACGCGCTGGGACGGGGATGTCTGATCCCAGACGCGACCAGTCTGGGACTGCCATGTCGGACTGCCGAGAAACGGCCAGGGGTGGTTTTCGGGGTCGGCATATGTGGCAGTCAAATTGTGTCTGGGGATCTTATTTTTCTTAAATATTCTTAAATGATGTTCTGGACAGAACCACCATCACTTGGAGAGCGCAGTCCAACACCTTGCTGGAAAAAGATTCCCAGGAATTGCAACAGGACCTCCCACAGTAGGGAAAGAATGAATCATCCTAAGCCCTAGGCTTCCGTGCGACCATTTAAAAAGTGGGAACGACCTGGTTTTTGTAGCGTAAAATCCTTAGTTGATTCGGGATTCAGCCTATTAAATTAATGCTTGTTGGAAGCCTAGGGTAAGCATAACCAGGGGAAACAGCCACGGCCGCGTGACCTGCTGGAAAGAAGCCGGGCCCCGCGGAAAACGCTGTCAGAGGTTCTGTCGAAATGGCTCGGCTCAGAGGGGAGCATGTCATGGAGCAGAAATGGACCAACTCGTTGGACAACAAGAGAAAACAACATGAAAACGTGTGGATTTAACCATGAAAAACATCACACAAATGAAGACTGGCATGGTTTCTGGCAAAGACTTTTTCTAATCACTGTCGCTTGTCGCTTTCACCGTCCCTTTCCAAGAAAATCGGTTACAACGTGTCTGAGACACGTGTCCGAGACTGCCGGACTTCCGAGAAACGGCCAGGGGTGGTTACAAGGGTCCATGGGGCGGCATCTACGCCTGGAGCGCTTGGAATCGTCCGAAGCACCCCGTAGCACGTCCCACTCAGATAAACTCCATGGAGATGCTCCTCTTTAAGCAAAATCATGCAAATTTGGGTGGAAACCATGTTTCTTTAACAGTCATGACACATGATTCCGGAGGATGGAAGCAAACGATTCGTCAACATGTAGTAGATCTTACACGATCTTACATCACCAAGACACCAGCCACATGAATCTCCATGAGCTTTTCGTCGCTTTTCCCACCAGGGTATGCCGACATGGCCGGAAGTTCTCACCGCGCGGCCGCCCGATAGTTCAGATCTTCTCAGTCACTTGTGACATGTGGATTTATCAACCCATGGCTGTGGGTCAAAACAGGGAGACCTAAACCCTTGTCCTGTAGGATCGTCGATTCGCTTCACCCCTTCGTCCACCGTGATTTGACCCACAGCCAAATCAGAATAGAGGATGAATCATGGTGTAGTCATCAGGGGCCTGATTCAGGGGGCAGATTCTGAATACTCTCCCTGTATGGTTACGTGGAGTGAACGCCCCCCTGTTTGGTCTTCCGAAACTTCAGGGTCTTCCGAAATGGAGGCCACGTCTTCCGGTATCAAAAGGTCACCACGGTATATCGGGAGACTAGATGAAACGAAAAGAACCCAGGATATTCCATGATGAATGATCACTCATGCAAATACGTTGTCATACTCGAGTTGAATACTTTCGTCATCACAAATCACTTTCGTTCGGAGTGAGGTGGTCATTGAATTGAGTCCCAGGGCAGTGGAGATGTGAGGTGTTTTGGACACCCTCGAACCATCCGAGTTTGACAGCCTGACATGGAACTGCTGGCATTGAAGTCGAACTTGCGAAGCTACACATATTGTCTTTCACAAAGCAGTTTTAGTGATTCGAGGATCACAGTTTGAGCTGCTACATCCAATCCTTGAATGGTCACACATGTCCAATTCAGGAAACAAAAACAACTGCAGCCTGACTGCAAACATGCGACAAAATGATGCGCTGAAGATCGCACGACCGAAAAGAACCCGCTGTGTAAAAGCTCTGAAAACTGGCTGCCCAAAGCTCGTGTTGAACTGCAATGAGCTCGTGCATAATTGTACGCATGTTCTCGAAGAAACATTCCATACTTTGCTGATGTCGCTCTTCTCATTGTCTGTGCCTGACCCCCATGACCTGCAGTGCTTGGCCGACTGCGCCTGAAGGAAATCTTCGTAAAGTTTGCCTTCAACGTCTGTCATGAACCTGACAAAACGCGGTGCCTTCAGGCGCTGCTTGGGAGTGCCATCGGGCAGTGCATTTCGATGGTTTTGGAAGGCATTGAAGGCACTCATGTTTCCCCAGAACTCCCAGCTGCCGGGCGTGTGACCTCTCATGTTTTGGAGGGAAGCCCTCCAAGCACACACCGACATCTAACACAAAGTCAACGAAGAAAAACTTCCCAAACGCTCCATGTATGGCATAATTACAGTACGTACATTGGGGTGACTACAGGTTATGGATACAACATGATACAACAAACGAGGTGATTCAAAATAAAGCCACATGTTACAGACCACTAAGGATTCGCACAGAAGAGTTGTGGCGTGCTTCCTAGCACCAACCAAAATACATGCCTGTTCGGAGTTTGATTGACAGCCCACGTCAAAAAAAGAACACATCCGCAAACAATCACATCCAACTTGCATGGTTGATAGACACATGGGCCCACATGGGTGTGTTTTAAAATTGAGGACCCCCTCTGTTAGACTCCATGGAAGAGTAATATTGGACCAACACCCAGTGGGGCAACAAAAGCCCCTAATGCCCTGACACAAACCCGCATAAATCCAAACGATTGAAACAAAAACATAAAAAAAGCAAAAAACAAACTCCAGTAGTGGACATCGCACCTCATCTGGTAGGTGTTTTGTTTTCATCAAACCCGTCTGGTAGTTTGACATCATTGTCGACATGAACCCGACAAAACCTCTCCATCCCCGGCAACGCCGGAGGTTGAAAATGGATCGTACCGAGAGAGGTTGATAGTCGAACCGGTTTCATAGGACCTGGGGATACCTGGGGCACCCAACTGGGATAGTCGAACTATTATAATATACAGTACAGTACCCATATCTTCCATAGCTTCCATATATCCCATGAGTCGTGTCCCAGACGGACGTCGCTGCCAAGACACCCCCCCAGGCCGCGCTGGGCGATGCCCCAGGAGCCATCGCGGGCCTCACAGGCCACACGTAAGGTGCCTGGCGCCGGTTGAATCGAGACATGGAGTTTCAGGGCCGAGAGGGAGCTGGGAACTGACGGCCGGCGAGAGGGAGCGTTGACGCGTAATTCCAAACGAAGATACTAACGAAGATATACCCTGGGAGTCAAGGACGATTTAGAAAGAATGGTCTCTTTAGGGTATCTGAAAGGGAACATCCTTTCCTTCATCTGGGCCAAGTTTTTATGGTTTCTGGGGTGTATTACAAAGACAAAAGTAAAACATTGCAAAGCCGTCAATCAACATGAATATGTTGTGTTGTTCATCAACAAAGATGAATATTGTTCAAGAGTTGATGATGGGCTGAAACATCAAAAGGTCAGAAGTTGGAGTGTCTGTGGAGAACGCGATGCTCGCATGGTGGGTCAACAACTTGATTCATCTGGCGGCTTTCGTTCAACACATGGACACCGTTGACCACCAAGAATGAACAGAAATGAATCGAATTCTAGACTACCTGGGAGGTCAACCTACCCTGGTATTCACAGGGGGGGGTGCGCCATCTATACCTTCTTTCGAGTGCCCAAAACCCACCCGACCCAGCTCAAGAACATCGGGTCCAAACGCCCACCGAGCCGAGTATGAGCCCGTGGCTCCCACCGCAACGGTGACCGGCGACCGGTGTGGCACCCGGAGAAGGCGCGGCGCGAGTCGGCGCGAGTCCGCCGTCGACCCTGTTTTGGCTCCGTCGGGCGATGCCGGCATCTCCGCGCCGAAGGGAGCGCCAATGAGGGCGATGTCCGGCCTCGAAGAGTCGCTGAAGTGGGTGCGGTGCGAGGTTCGCGGAAGTGTCGGTGGTGAAGAGCGATGTCCCGAACGAGGACTCTGAAAAAAGACCATTTAAAAAAGGATAAAAAAAACAAAGGGTTGACCTGGTTTTGCCGTGTAAAAACCTTTAGTAAAACAATGGTTCTTTGGTGACCAATAAATCAATGGTTCATGGAATCCTAGGGCCTGTGATCAGTCCCCTAAATCCTCCCTGGGAGTTTTTAGACAATGCCAGACACTCCATGGGACTGCCATGTCGGACTGCCGAGAAACAGCCAGACCCCCCAAAAGCACCACCCCCAGCCGTTTCTCGGCCGTTTTGAAGGCAGTCCGTCCTACGGCAGTCCCAGACTGGTCGTGTCTGGGAATGTTTTTGGTTTGGAAAGAAAAGCGGTGATCATCTCCGAGTCCGTTCCGTTCCGCCGATCCGGGTGCCCCCGTCCGGCGACGGGACGTGGGTTTGCCTCGTCACATGGGGACTCCTATCCTCCAAGTTCGGAACACCGTCTTGTGACTCCGTAAGTAGGGTAATTATGGGATGTAATAGGAAAAGCGAGAACTGGGTGAGCGTGAGCGAAGAATCTCGCTATTGCAGGCAGTGCCACTGCAGGGTGGTGTAGCATGTCTGTTTGTGGATGAAAACTGGTCGATTTCCCAAACACTCATGAGACCTGGCATAGAAAAAAAGATGGACTCCTGACATCAACCACCCCTGGCCTGATGTAGGCAATTATGACAGTCCCAGATGGGTGATGGGTGATGTTTTAGACTCCAAATCCGTGCAGTGATGTGACTGGTGCTTCCAGGGACCCCGATGGTTGGACCGACGTACTATGCAGGGCGATGGGAGGAACAGGCCAAGAACGTTACAATTAGCAGGGTGGCCCCGTCTTTGAAGACAAAAACATGAAACAAAGGCAGAAGTAGGAAAAGAAGGCCGTATACGAAGAAAAGCAGGCCTTTTCCAAGCTTCATGAAGTTTTGACTGGAGGCATGAGAAAATCCTATAGGTTGGAGGCCATCGCTGCCACCGACTTCGGCCGGTCGCGTTAAAACTGACCCCCAAGCGTTTTGGAGCATAGGTGGGGAAAAACTTGGAGTGCCACTCTACATGATGTGCTTCAAGATTGGGATAATGTATTTTCGGTGGTTATCATATATATATATATATATCCTGAACCCTTGAAAGTGCAATAATATCTTTACGTTTGGAATTTCTATCCTTTTGGGCCGTTTGGAACACTTCAATGCCAATCTAAACGATTCAAGCCAAAACTGAACACTCCAAAGCAAAACTGGACGCTTTCTTAAATGACTCCCACCAACAAGCACATCTATGCTTGGTGCATGATCACCTATGTACGAATCTTTGAGCCATACGAGGAGTTGATCAAGAGTTGTATGATACAATTTCATGACTTTGGCTCTTTGAGTGTGTAGTACACTTCTAGCCGAGTGCCACCCTAGGTACTTGTCAACCTACAGGATATGGTGAAACTTAGAGATTGCCATATGTGGCAAGCATTCACACTAGTTTGCTCCGTCCCACGAGCTCCAGGTCAAATCTTCTCATGATGGTAGGCCACCACATGGCTAAGTTTGAAACTGCAAAGAATTCCCACTTTGTGCACTCTTGCGAGGTTTTGCGTACTTTTTGCGGATATTTGCATATTCTTTGCGGATATTTGCATACGCTTCTTTTGTGGTTGTGACGTATGAAATATATTGAATTCATTAGTATTGAATCCACACCAAAACACATGCATATGGCATGTGGGGTTTCATTTGGCAGCTCATTGACAGATCATGATGGATGTAAATAATTATGCCACAAAAACAACAAGTTAGGTGTCAAAATCTGTGACAGGATGGACATGTGTAAAAGGAATTGATAAACATGGATTTGCACATCTACAGTCGATCGTGTTTCTTAAGAGGTGATTGTACAATGGAGATCATGCGTATCTTAAAGCCAAGCATGAAGTGGTGAAGAATCTGCTCTTGATATATGATCTTGTCCTCCACTGGGTGATTTCTTCACGTTTGGACCAACTGGGACATTCAGCCCACTTTTCAAGGTTTGCGGTTTTTTGCGTCCTTTTGCGTTCACAAACCCAACAGTTCAAAAATTAGTAAACTCTTGAGGGTCCAGGATATATATATTATATATAACCTTTTTCCACCTCTTCTTGTTTAAGTGGGGAATGTAAAGCCGTGTGTTATTAAAGCTGATCCACTTCTGCAAAGGCCCAGGTTCCAACCGTTTCCACACACGTCATCGGAAACCACTGGTCCCGCGTTCCTTTGGAGTGAGCTTTTGGAACGCGGTGAGATCTACGTCGAGGAGATATTAGGCCGGGTTCCAAACGCCTCCGGGCCGGCCCTCCCCACAGCTACCTACGCCCAGGCACGTAAAGGGACAGTTGTTGGCGTCTAAAACGTCGTTGGGCAAAAGGCCTTTCTCCTGGGCCGCGCCGTTGAATGCACAAGCACCGCAGGTCGTGCGAGTTCGACTGGAGGAGCCTCTGAGGTGACGTCGAGCCGTCTCTTTTGGTCGCAGGGCCACAGGGGTCTTGCTTGAAATAGTCCTGGAAATAGGAACGGAAACCTCAAAAATAGGCCCATGATGGCCAATGCAGGTCATAGTAAGATATGGATACATATATATATATATGGTGGGTTGATGTGGGTTGCATATGGATTCTCACTCTCCCGAATTGAATTTCCAGCCCCTCTTCCGAACGATGTGGGTCTTGTTTGCCATGTAAACGTCGCAGCATCACACAAGATGTCTGGACCAGTCAGGACAATGTCGCAAATGTCGGGTGCTGAGATGAAACTGATCCAAAGTGACCTCTTTGGAGTCTCTAAGTGACCTCTTTAGGGACTAAGTGACCTCATTCTAGGATCTCAAAAGGTCATTTCGAAGGTCCTCGAAGATAATGTTTTTGTTCAGTGAGATGAGGTGAGATCCCCATCTGCTCACAGAGCTGCGTGTTTACCTGGACCGAAAGCTTCAACTGTTTAGTAGTCTACGTGTTGTTTGTTAACCAGTGTTTTTTCTTTCAGATGTTTTATCTTCCCATCATATCTAAAGAGTGAAAGGTGTCTGGGAACGTGAACCATATATATGAATGCGATAGAATATATATATATATATATATGAATCCACCCCAAAAGCTGCTGGGCATCTTGCCCAGCCCACCGAGCCTATCCGAGGCCTGGGGTGATGACACCCGGTTCGGCCCAACGCGCACGTCCCGCCGAGCGGCATTGGGCCGAAACTGCGTGGGGCTTAAGAGCCTCCGATTCACATAAAGCACCTCAAGAACCTCGGGCCGATGCAGAGGTCATGCCGCCAACATACTAGAACCCAGACGTCTGACCTCTGTTCTGAGAGGAAGTTTGACCATGTTTTGGGTTCCAAAACAGTGGTCGTTTTTGCTCAGCGGAGTATAGCTCAGTTTTCCGAGCTGATGATGGGAGGTGAGTGGTGTTCGGCAGCGCAACTTAGAGGTGAGCGCCACTTGCGCAGTAGCGCGATTGGGCGAAGGGTTGGGAACCCTAAGTCTCGTACAGGTTCACCAAAGAGTGGCAGAATGGCTCATATACAGAGCTTATGATGCAGGGATTGGGCCAAGGATTCTGTAGTTCAGCTGGATTCCAGTACCTCATCACCCACCGGACAAGATCGATCCCGTCACTTGGCTCAGGTTGCCGGTGGCCGGACGATCGGCTCTCCACGGTCGCCACCACGGTTCCGTCCCCCCACCGGTTCGCAGCGAGGGACGTCAGGGATGAGGCAGCCTGCTACCTCCATGACGTCCCCATAACCTGACCGGGCTTTCCGCCGGTGAGTGAAGACGCGACGCGTAAGCTCCGGCCGTCCGGATGTTTGTGAAGCGCGTTTAGACGGTTATACGGGAGAACATGCAACGGTCACAGACATGTTGAGCCATGAGACAGCTAACTCCAGGCATTCATGGGACTGGCATATCCAAATATGCGAACGCATGCGACCTCCTTCGTTCGAAAAGACCATATTTGGGGTATAGATCCTCCCAAACAGGGGACTGTCACTCAGGCCCGACCGGTATACCTATATATACATGATGGTACCCAGTAGGTCAATTGACCCCTGACTTCTCAACCATCCCTGGCCGAAAGTGTCGACATAGATCCACGGAAGACTCTGTAAACCAGCGCCCGGTCCGCCCAACGGTCTGGCCGGTCCGCCCGACGTTGGGCCCCACCCGGTTGGACGCCCCGGTTGGGCCGAACCTGAAAACCGCTGGTGCACCGCTGTACGGAATTCCTAGTCTTCCAGCCTCCATGGCATCAGCTTCAGCTCGGTCTGACCACCCGGGTGGAACATGGACCCGTTTCTGCGGAAGGAACAGGAGCGGAACAAAACCTTTGACCGATACGGCACCATGGTCGTTTGCTATGTCAGCATTATCCTGCAACACCTAATAATTGACCTATACTAGTACTGTGTGAGTGCCTATGTGTGTTTACCCAAATCCCATGTCATCACCCGTTTAGTATATACAAAGATCAAAACCATGGCAACCTTCAGAGAGGGTGTTAGAGTTGTGGCATGTAGCGCTATTGGTCAACAATGGCGAGTTAGCGCCATCAAGGATATGGGGGGGGGGGTACTTTTCTTTATTTTAATAGGGAGACCCCCAACCAATGTTTTTTTGCCTATTTAATTTGTTTGCAGGGGATCGAACTGGGAGGTCTCCCTATTTTAGATACACATCCATGTCCACCAAACTCTCGTGCACGGGATTTTCCGGTAACTTCTTCAGCTCCAGGAGTCGAGAATTCTCTCTTCTTTGGGTGCAACACACCCGTATCCAAAACGTGTTCGTGTCAATGGTGTTCTTGTTTCACTGGCCTTCCTTCCACGCATGCAGAATGTCATTGTTTAAACCTAAGGAAACCACCAAGACCAGAAAAAACTTGTGGTTTAACCACTCACAAACATAAAAGAATAGATGTCATGAATAGGGATCAATTATCTCAAGTAAAGGTTGAGGTTTCACCACATGAATCAGGCAGAAATTCCAGAACCATCTGGGTACCACACGACTCACCATCTGGTCGGCGGTGTGGCGGTCGTGCGACCCAGCAGCTGTTGCCATGCGCATGGAGCAAGACAAAGTGCTCCTGGAGCAGCTCCAAAGCCAGCGCCTCACCACATGTTTTTTCATCTGCCCAGACGCTCCAAACAGCCCGACTGGTCCCTCAAAACCATAGGGATTTGAGGGTCCAGACCCCTCCATATGAGGGTCCGACCCCTGCATATGAGGGGTCAGGAGCGTCTGGGTGGAGTGGTAAAATCTCCAGCCCCTCCATGGTCGATCTTTCTATCCGCTCGTGCAGGCGGGACGTGACGTTCGGGGTCGTGGGTTTCCAGGCAAGACGATGGGCGGTTCGTACTGCCGTTGGTCAAAATGAAAGACCAACTTGGCCTTTGGTCACGGTCCACTATGTCCAACCTCCATCAAGTGCTAGCATGGGTCTGATCCCAATGCTGCCTGAACATTGGACGTGAACCCAAAACCCTGCAGAGGACTGGAAGCGAAGCAGCAGTGATTACTCGTCCACCTACCACCTCGGCAATCCCACATCTACACGATTCTACACGTGATATCACTGCTTTGCACGGAAGTAGAGCGTCTTAAGCCATTCTTAAGCTTCTTAAGCCCACAAGAACGATGGCCAGCCTGCCAGCCTGTAACAAGAAACCCGGTTCTGTGGTCCAGCCCGGGGTGGCTCATGGGCAAAGGCACCAGCCCGGGCAAGGCCACAGGGCCAGTCAGGGGGCTATACCCTCTCTTCATGAAGAAGCACTAGCAGCGGGAGTTGTCAGTTTCAGGAGATCCTTCTTAGGGGGGGTCAAGTTTTGACATAGGTTGTGATTCATTACGTTTTTTTGTCAGTTTCTATATAACGAGATCCTTCATATCAAATTCTGGAAACATCCAAAGCCCAGCAGAAGAACCAAAGGGGTGAGGGGTGCACTCCATGCGCTTCATAGGGATGCACTGCTCAGGTGACTCAACACCACCACTGCTCATGTGACTCCAAGCACGACGACCTCGACCGTCTCCCAGTCTCGACCACCCGCCTTGGTCAAAGCGGAGGCCGAGCGGTGAGGACGGCCGAGCCAGTGCAGCTCTAAGCAGATTTGGTCGAAGTGGCCCACGATCTCCTTCGACGCCCTGCATGGTGTAGCGTCGTCGGACGGAGGAGCTGTCTTGGAGGGTCTTGGAGGGTCTGGCTCTGACGGAGTAGAGCAGCTTGGAAAGTTCGAAGGGTGAGCAGCATGGAGATCGCTTCTTAAGATATCGTCATGAGATCTCTCTTTTTTCTGTTCTAGCATCTTTCTTGAAGTTACTAGATGGTTCCAAGGGATGAAGCTGGCACCTAGAAAGAAAGTAACTATTATAAAAGAAACTCCAGACCCAAACATTCCTGCTGGGACTGGAAGATCTATAGGCACTCCGAGCACCGATGGTCAAATAACAGTTTTACGGAAAAATGATGGAAACATGATTCATACAATTTTACCTGCAGGTCAGTTGGAAAGAAAGACTGGAGTTTGGTCATATAAAAGCACGAGGAGATATGAGATTTTCAGGACCAGGTTTTGGTGGGTATTTGGATCTGTAGGGTATATGTTAAAAGAATTGTATAGATGCCTCTTAACAGCTCAAACTTACCAGCTGAAAATGGAACTTTGTCCGCATCGCTTGAATAACAAACAACAAGACTTCTGCACCTCACTTGGGACACAATTGGGACACCTAAACAAGGCCCCATGCTTTTTCTTCTAGCCCAGCGGCAGGAGGGCTGAGAACCTCAGACGGGCCAGCAACTTGACAGGAATCACCGCTGGGTTGGGTCTATCCCAGACACCGACCCGGGCCCGGTGGATGATGATGGGGCCAGGCTGCAGGCCATCTCTAGAAGACGAGCCATGGACGGCTCGTGAAACCTAGGTCCAGCTCTACAGGTCCAACCTGGGACAGACCCACATGGACTAAACTGGACTGTTCCGCGGAATCACACAGAAATGACTATACCCAGACACGACCGACTAATGGGACTGCCATATATGCCGATCTGGCGCCAGACCCCCCCAAACCCACCACCCCCTGGCCGTTTCGAAGGCATAAATGGCAGTCCCATGGAGTGTCTGGGATAGGAATGACCGTGAAACCCTGACTCCCCAGACAGCTTCTCCAGGGCTGTGACGTACCAGTCGCGTGTGCTGTAGCTGCGAAGCTTCTCCAGGCCCCGACAGGTTTTCACACCAAAAAAACCCTCTGCAATGGACGTCAGGAAGGCCAAGGTGCTCTGCCCCCTCCACGTCCATCTTCAACCTGAGCTCCGAGCTCCGAACTCGTGGGTAGCACCCGCCGGGGTGTTGGTTTCGAGTCCACCAATACCTCGTTCTTCACCGATGTCCGATGTGCGGTTCGTTTGGACCGGTCCTTGCAAGTCAAGGCACGACGGCAAGGTCTTTCCCCCCCTTCTGAAGTTTCTTTTTCGTGCATAGGCGCGCAAGTGGCGATCCGTTGGAAGACTAAGCAAGTGGCGAACAAAACACTCGCATGGTGGCCGCTGAGCGTTCCAGCTCCCCCTGCTGGCCCAGGGGAATGTGGACCCCCCGGCGACCCGCACCGTCGCTCCCCCAACCCTGGCAAGTCTGGTTGGTGCTTTCAACTCACTTGAAAATATGAGTCAGCCGGATCCATCATCTCGATCAAGTAAAGGTCCAGTAAAGGTCCAAAATATAACTGAAACCACGATAACAGTTGTGACCTTCTCCCGGCAAGCCATCTAACGACTCTGAAAAACGCCCAAAGGTAGGAGCACCTGTAGGAGCGCAGCGCTTTCATCCTGTGTGAAAGGTGCTTGCTTTGTAATTTCAAGCGTTTTGTGTGCTTTGTTGTTTGAAAACTTGTTGCCGATATTTTCACCTTTTTGCGGTGTCTGCGGCACAGCTGGCCGATAGCACTGTAATGTAAAGTCATTATTAATAAACCTCCCCTAGTTAATCCGAGCCCACAAAGCCCACGGAAATTGCCCAAATTAAAAGTAGTATTGGTGGCTTATTTTCTCCCCGAATCACTAAGCAGTTGGTCACTAGAAACCTCGCTGTTAATCCGAGCCCAACCAGGTCGACTTTCTCTTACCACTACCACCACTACCACTACCACTACCACTATCACTACTACTACTACTACTACTACTACTACTACTACTACTACTACTACTAGGAAATACTACTACTACCACCACTACTAGTACCACCACCACCATCACCACCACCACCCTACCTACCTACCTACCTACCTACCTACCTACCTACCTACCTACCTATATACCTACCTTCGAATGAAATTCTAAAGAATGTCTAGGGTTCCGGGCCTATAAATGTCCTTTTAAAGAGAAGCTCAGAAAGGGTACCCCTCAGAAGGGCCAGTCCCCCCTCAATAATCTGCACTACTACCCCCTATTAATTTGATCCTGTGCCCCTGTGGTTGTTTAAAACTTTTTACAGCTACCCCTACTACCACTGCTGCTGCTCCTCCTCCTTCTCCTATTTCTACTACTAGTACTCTAGTCTAGTACTAGTACTTGTACAACAACAACAACAACAACAACAACAACAACAACAACAACAACCAACCAACCAACCAAACCAAACCAAACCAAACCAAACCAAACCAAACCAAACCAAACAAACCAAACAAACCAAACAAACAAACAAAACAAACAAACAAACAAAACAAAAGAACAAAACAAAACAAAATTACAAACAAACAACATTTGTTTCAACATGTGTTTTTCGTTTGTTGTCGCCTTATGTTGAAACAAATGTATGTTTATGTTCCCTTATTTTGTCAAGACGGCCATCCGCAGCTTGTAACTGATTGACAGTCGCGAAAACCTTGGCCGTTCCATTCCACGCCTTTTTTGATTATACAACCTCCTTTGGCCCAAAGGTATCATCCCTCTGCGCGTGGCATGATACATCCAGCTTTCCCTAGCCAATATTTATATATGAGGTCACTCGATTGTTCTTTTCGTTGTACACCGACAACATCGCTGACCAAAACGAAACCGGACACATCGTCCTTGACTTCGGTAACGCCTGTAGATCAAAGCAAAAAGTCAAACGATTCGCATCGGAACGAAGGCCATTAACCCATGAAGACCATAGTCTTGTATAAAGATCGAAGGTCATTGACCCATGAACACCATACTTAGTCTTCCACAAATGAACATATCATACCCAGACGGCTCCATGGGACTGGAATAGGACTGCCGATCAAGCCAGACCTCCCAGTCAACCACCACCCCTGGCCTGATTGGCAGTCCGACATGGCAGTCCCAGACGTGTCGGGCCGGGTCGGTCGTGTCCTACACCGAATGAACGGACCGCCGACCACCGCCGGACCGCCCCTGGTCGTATGACGCACGTCCCGGGCGCCGCATCGAACGCCGGACGAAGGCTCTTTATGAACCGAACAGACGTCTGTCCACCCGTCCAGGAAGACGCGACGGCGCATCAAGTGACGCCCCAGCCGCGCGCGCTCCTACACGTCTTGCCAGACAAAAAAACACAGTGCTGCAAACGGATTAGGTCCACAAACTTATAAGAGAAACGCCGATATTCACCACACCACAAACAGAAAGGATGAAGCGACTCCCTCCACCTGTTCGTGTTCAGTGCGGAAATCAATCACCAAAAGAGGTTTAAGGCTATGTCGGGTCTTCTGGTTCTCTGCCAAGAAACATCAAGGAGCCTTGATGACAAAGCCGCAGGTGCTCAGACAAGGTGTTGCCAGCCCCTGCACTCGTTTTCGCACACGTTTTCGGGTCTCCTTTCGTCAGGTGAAAAGCAAAGGGTCTGGGCAGGTGTTCCCAGAAATCTTTCTCAGAGAGCGACAACCGTGAACCAGCACTTGCTGAGAAGAATTCCTATATGTATACCTTTCCACTAGAAACCACAGATATTTGCTGCTTACACCAGATATCCCTGGTTCTTACACCTGGATTTGCTGAAAGAACCTTGAAAATGATTCCCCATGCCAGGGGAGAAAAACCCTGAGATCGGGAAATTACATCATCACCTGATCCACAAAACCGCTCACACGACCCACACGGCTCACGGCTGGATCACACAGGACCCGTCTGAAGTTTTAAATCAGCAACCTCGGTAGATAAAGACCAGTTCCAGGTATGCTGGACAATTACCGTGTGTTCACTACGCATACCACAACCAACACATTTTCACTCATCGACTTTCCACTACAAAAGATCATCCAACCTGAGATCGTTCTGTGTCGCAACTTCATTGGGCAAACCTCCACAAAAGTTGTTGGGTTTCATAAGTAGAACCAAGGCCAAAGCCTTTGCCAAGATCTGCAGGTCCACAGGAATGGAACCGCGACTGCAAGTGATTCCAACTCTAGGACCACCCGACTGGTCGACGCCTGGTAGACTGCGATCACACAGCGCTTCCTGGCGAAGAAGGCATGGAAGGCATCGCCCGAGTTCTGCGTCTGGAAGGGGGGGTCCAACATCTGGTTTAGGGTTTAGGGTTTAGGGTTCTTTGAGCCCCACCTGGCTGGAAGCCCTAGCCTACGTAGCTTCGGACTTCGCTTCCGCGCTTCCCCATACGCTCCATCCACGACCTGTCTGGGACAGCACTCCGCCCCAGAAAGACCCCCGTGGTGGTGCCACCCAGATCGGCAGTCCAAAAAGGCCGTCCCAGACGTGTCGTGTTTCCAGAGTGGGCACTCCAACAGAGGTGGGTCAGAACCCGAACTAGACTGTCCCAGTTGGGTACCCCAGGTGACAGGTCCTAGTTCAGGACACTGGCTACCTCTCTTGGCTGGATGGGATCTCAGCCAGGTCGGACCGAACGCCCCCGTGGGCGTCGACGTAACGCCCACCGGCTGTTCCGCCCCGCCTCCAGACGTTCCAAAGGAGGATTTGGACGGATGGACGTGGAAGGAGGATTTGGTTCAAACCCACCAATTCCAGTTCATACCAAGAGAGGTTCATGTCGACCGTAAATAGGGTACCATATATATACTAGTTCGGGTTCTGACCCACCTGGTCACCTCTGGTGGTACTTCCAAACGGAAAGGTGCCATCCACGTATTGTTGATTCTTTGAGGGAGTGTACCTCAAATGGTCCCCCCAGGCCCCAGGCAGTTTTACCATACACAGGTCTCAACTGGCACTCCCTGAAAACCATCATGAAGGGTCATGCGGATGGGATAGCATCCGCCCTTTCCGGGCAGACCGTGTCTAAGCTTCGGTAGGTGGTGAGTGGTGAAGGCCATGGACTCCCGCATGGATTCAACGCCAACCCCGGGAGTGTCAGAGATGAAACAAACGTTTTTGACATGGTCCTTCTGCAACCCATCTACTGCAACCCTTCTACTTCAGTCACCTCTTGAGGACAATAGCCGTAGTCCATCTTATATAACTGTAATTTGGAATACCTTTGGTGTCCCTAGGGATCCAGTCGTACCTTCTCAGAAGGTGATGGGAGACTATTATGTAGGCTTCTCAGTGAGAAGTGGATCCCTAGACGTGTCATAGTTGCTGTGCCTTGTGGCGATCCATTGTTGCAAGCTTCAGTGTCCCAGGCATCAAGCACTCCCCTACACTGCACGGCGGTGAACCCACCCCCACCACTCACACAGCCGACTGGATCGCGTGACCACCGCGCGGCTCTGCACGCGACCTGAACGAAAGTGATGTTGGGATGCTGCCGTGGCAAGCCGTGGACCGTGTGATCAAAGAGGATGACCTTGGTCCCAGACGACCTTGGTGCACCGCGATCCAAGGCGCTTCCGCGGCTTCAGCGGTGTGCTCTTCCGCGGTGCGGTGCTTCATTCGCATCGCTCAGCCCACAGGAAGGACCCACCGGAAGGGTCCATGGTGACATTGTCCCTTCAGACCCACCAGACCATGGTTTTTGGGGGGTCCAGGTCACGTGGTCCGAAAGGAAGTGACTCTGAAGCTCGGACGCTTCGGCGGAACTCACGGCGGATCGGACCCGAGTCCGTCGAATCCTCCCGTTTTCACCGGGGCTCGGACGGTCGAAGCAATCCTGTTCTTCAGGGGCCGTCTGGGACTAGTTCGTGTCTGGGAAAATTAACATAGTTTTTGGGTTGAAATCGTGTGATTCAGGGACTGAAGACTTCATTTTTTGGTTGAAGCCTGCATTTTTCCAAGAACTTCAGTGGAAAGGTTAATCGGTTAACCGGTATAACCGAACTGTTCACCACTAACTGGGTCAAATCGACTGGATTTGGACCTCTTAGATGTCCTTCTCTGAATTCACCGTTTCCTTGCACCATGCATTGCCGACGAAAACTTGAGCACTCAAGCAATTCCAGCTAGCTGATGAAAAAGACTTCTCTCATGCCCAGACCTCTCTCCTGAAAATCACCCAGACGTCTCCGACTTGCCTTTTTCGGTGCCAAAAAGAAACATGCGACCTCCCATGTTGAACCCCCCGTTTGTTCGGTGGCATGAAACGGAGATCGCTCGCTCTTTTCGGGAAACGGAGATCGATTTCGCTCGCCATCTGCTCGCCATCTACGTTCACGGCTTCTCATCCAAGGGGCGCTAGCTCCCATTCAAAGTCAACGTTGGTCCCGACGCCGTAGCTGAGGAGGTTCTTACAAATGGGCCAATTCCCCTGGTCAAAGACCACGTAGCCTGCCCAACAGGTTGAGTCAGAAGGCAAGACAGAAGCTGCGGCCGCGGCCGCGGCCGGCCATCCAGAGATGTTTCAAGTCTGCTGAAGATGTTGCCGTTGTTATTTATGATTACAAGCATTATTAGCACCAGAATCAAGATCCGGGCATACATCAGAACACGTTGCTTGACTTTCAAGTTTCCTCGCTAGAAACCTTACAAGAATCTTGCATGCTCTTGGCCCTTAGAAGAAGTCGCGAAGGCCATTGAGATCGAAGGCCAATATTGCTGTAACCGGTCACTGCTTTTGCCACAGAAATCTGGTGGCCTGTCCCCCTATCATGGTTGCCTATCACAATGACAGGTCAAAAGATTGAAGAGATTCTGTCGATCTCTTCTTCTTCTTGTTCTTCTTCTTCTGCTACTTCTTTGAGCAACTATCTCTCCTTCACCAACCCATCCTGACAACTTGACAACTCTTGGAACCCCGGAACGGCCTCCATCCGCCTTTGGTCCTACGCGCCGCAGGCTCGTCGCACCGCCACATGCGGGTGCCACGAGCTCATGCAGGCGCAGCGCAGAGACCAAGCGCCGCAAGACGTCGTCATCCACGGAGCTGCCGACGACGCGACGCGCGCATTCCACCGGCCGACGGACCCAAGGACTAGGACGGGAGAAAGGCCGTGAGAATCCGTGAGAAACCTGGTGTGTGTATGTTTCTTTGCTTCTTATTGTCAGCTAAAAAGGGGAGAGACATATAAAGAGACTTTGCTGAGCTCTAATCAACAAACCAATCGAAGCCATCCTGAACCGTCCCACCCCGTCACAGGAAAGCTGTCCACCTGGACATACCATCACTCGCCCCTTCGCGGCCTCTAGCAGAAAAAACCAAGAAACCTGGCCCGAGAAGCCCGGCCTGGGCAGCTTGTGGAAAGCGGCCACCTGCACCATCTCCCCCGCTTCCGGCCGAGAAGGGTGAAAAAATCTTGAAGAATCCTCCGGTTTTTCTGGGTCGGAATTGGGGGACTTGGCTTGGCATCACCTGACAAACCACATTCATGTCCTGCTTAGGGCCTTCCTTAAAAAACAAAGATTGCCAGAAAAACGGGCAAAAATTGAAATCCACCCCAAGATTGGAGGTCGTTCGTTTTTTGTTCACCAGTCTTTTCTCGGATTGTCCACTCCAAAGGTGTGAAAGGGATGAAACGGATGATCCACCTGTCGGTAGCTGGTCGTTATGGTTTAAACACAAACATGAATGTAAAAGGTACCAGCACCACGGAAGGGGTGGTTATTGGATGGAACATATATACATAGTCAGAGGTATATATTGCTTTTGTTTGTTTGGATTTACATGTTGAAAGGCCCGAACATCAGGAACGACTGCACACAGTGCAAGAACATCGCCGAACCATCAAGAACTCCAACTCCTGTGTTTTGTCCGACGAAGGAAGCTGGGCCGGGCCAGCTGCGACATGTCGAAATGCCAAAAGTTGTTATAAGTGGATTGAGAGTAGATGCCACAATCCCCAAGTGAGGGGTTTGTGCAATCTGCTCTGAAACCTGTGAACTTGTTCATGACTGTGTTACTGTGTGTCCTCTTTTTGTTCGATTCATTCTTGAGGGGTGGTCTTCCTTGATCAATACACACGGATAAATTATCATCAATTTATAGCTGCCCTGTCGGCTTTGATGACTCGGGGTTCAGTTCAACTGAACCGCGAGTAGGGGTGCTAAGGGTTGTATTTTTTTCAACATGGGATGAACTTTTAGAAGCACATTCTCAATTCTTCCAACATGTCCCAACCGTTCCCTCGAGATGGCACCTCTTCGGCAAGGAGGCTATGGTGCTTCGCCAGCTCTTTGCAGTAGTCCAGCTCCATCCTTCAAGGTACACTCCCTGAAATCATCGTTACGTATGGTGACATAGGTCCCAAGGACTCGGGGTTGCCCCGGAGAAGCGAAGACCAAACAGGTGGTGAACTCGGACTCCGGGTAGATGAGAATGAGAAAGACCACCGAGTCGAGTCCGGCACACTGTGGCACTGCAGCTTTTTTCAAGACCAAGGACACACGAGGAGCGTCTAACTCTGGGGGTGAAATCGGATTTCAATTACACCAAAAGGGACTCGACCTCGTCGAAAAGAACCTTGCTAGGCTCTTCCAGCTCCCTTAGGATTTTTTCGCCTCGCGTCGCCCAGAAACGGCAAACGCCTAGGACGCTGAACAACAACGGAAGAGCGGTGGGTGGTTGGGTCTTCAGGTGGATGGATGACTGTTCGGCGGCTCCTCCGGGCGAACTCATTCAGCTGGGGGCTGCCGCGTTGCACGCTGGCGTAGGCACTGCGCAGCATCGATGCCGCCTCTCCGCGCCGAGAACGCGTGGGAGACGCGTGGAGACGCGTGGGTTGGGAGCCCTAGAGAGGTAGATCAACCTCATCTGCTGCAGTAGCTAGAACTTAGAACACTAGCTATATGTAGTAAATTATAGTAATACTCTATCTATAGTAATGAGAAAGATATCGAAAATCAATCAGCACCACCCAAAGGTTTGGATGGTTGGTTGGAAAATACCGCTCACGGGGGGTAGACCGAGTCACCACCCCACCGCCAGGTGCTGCTATGAACTCCCTTATTTGACTTCTTCTACAAGCATTTTTCAGCCCACAAAGCGTCGATCGGATGAAAATCCTGCATCCGAAGTGTGATCTGACGAACATCTCGGAACTCACTGATAATTTCAAGGTCTGGTCTGATCCTGGTGAGCTCTGGCGCTTCGTCTGATGTTTCATCGTAAGGACCAATGAATCAATGAATCTCTCTATTATATGAATACGAATCTTTGGGGATGTGGCTTGAGTTTTGTTCAATGGTTTTTGGAATGTGAAGTTCCACCTTCCAATGGGAAGGACCTGTCCGCACCGTTAAACCTGCAGCTTGCCCATCCCATCCCATCGTCACGAGGACACCTTCCCAACATCGACGGAGGAAGTCGGGGAGGCTGGTCCCCACCGAGAGTTACGTACTGAATGTACTGAGTACATGAGACCTTGACCACCTCAAGCACGGACTGGTACAGATGTTGGCAGCTTGCAATGTCAAAAAAGAAGAGGGAAAGGAGACAGCTGCTGTGATGAAAGCAGACAAAGATAAGACATGCTCCACATTATACAGCTTGATGACCTAAGAGCCATGCGTTTCCAGCACAAACATGACTCAAATACGGTACGCAGCAAAAGTCACTAGAAATGTCTTCTGGCCACCCTCTTTTGAGGTGCACGCGTCTGAACAAGGGGCTTGGAGAAAAACCTTCTCGGCATCCTCTCCTTGATGCTGGCAGGGCTACCATAAGGCCGCAGGTGATGCAGCTCCTGGGAACTGCAGAAGCGGTGGCACCGTTGCCAACGGTGCCATGCTGGTGAGAAGTATGTGTCATCCAGAAGCGGACCGGTCTCACGGTCCATTTTCGGGTCATGTCTCTCAGGACTCTCAGGACCCAACACACACAGTGCATGGTATGTTTCTTCACCCCTCCAAACCACGGCTTCCAAAGCACTCTGAGAAGTGACACGTCTTTTCCTCGTTCCCCAGTTCCCCAAAAGAACGCGGGCGGTCTCCGCGGTGCAAGCTCCATACAGCCCGCGGAGACGAGTCTCCGCGGAGACTCAACCCGGGTTCACCGAGCATCTGAGAGGACCTTGCTGACCGTGCTCATGGAGTTCTTGATCTCTTCGGCGATGCCACTGCCTACGACGGGTCCGGTCGTGCCGGAAGTCGTCCCGAGCGGTCTGAGCGGTCTGAGCTTTGCTGAAGGAACTGAGAAAAACGAGTCCCATGCCAAAACAACACAAGCAAAACCAGGTACAGTATATGAGTCATGAGAAATCAAATTACCTGGTGCCATCAAGCTTGCAGCTTGCACAAGTCCAAGTCAGTCATTGACACCCTCCATTCCCTCATGAAAATCACCTCGGGAACCTCTATGGACCTGTTCACCATCTACACATCCGCGCCGACCTGGCTGGGGCGGGCGGAGTTGGGTTTCTCCGCCAACGATCCTTCTATACCAGAGAGTCAGAGTCAGAGCTATACCAGGCCTTGTCTTCTGTATCTGGAAAGACGAATGGTAGAGACCTGGTGTTTGCATAGTTGACCTGGCTTGAAAAAATTGTTGACAATTTAATATCCTTATCTTAGTAGAACAGCTCGGTTGTTCGGTTTTGGCTTAAAGCCATCAAGTTGGTGTTTCGACGGCGTTCGATGGAAATGTCGGACATCTGCGTTCGACCGATCTTCACAGGGGGTCGTCTGTTGCTTGAAAGTTGATAAAGTAAAGAAAACACTCCATATATGGAATGGTCCATGGAATATAGACCGATATATAATACCCAGACAGTTTAACCTTTTCCTAGGGGTATCCTTTGCACATACTTAGACTTACTGGGTATACATTGGGGTGAGTTTCTCTGGATTCCATGTGGGCATTCCAGTCCTATGAAGGTCTGCCAGGGCAGCCAGCTGCTGCCATGTATCTTCGCTTGATCAACGTCCCGAGCTCAGTCCACGCTTTTCGGCAGCTGGTCGGCATCGGTCCAAAGCTCGCCTGCCACCTTCAAGAAGCGTCGAGTCTCCTGCGCAAAAAAAAAACAGCAGCTGAACCCGAACGAACATATAACATTTATTATATATATACAATATATGCCGATCAATTGACCCCCAAACCACCAGCCCAACTGATCATCAGTCCTATGGTAGTCCCAAACGTGTCGCGTCTGGGGAATGGAAAACCCAAAAAACAAGTTCCGACCACGACCACATCAGGGTACCAATGGTGGGACGCACAGAGAGTACTTCGTTCGTCTCCAATGGAATGACCAGGAATCGGATGACAAGCGCGGCGTGCCGATGAATGCTATGAATGCGCCACACTCCTGAAACCTAACATAGACCCGGGTCCGTCCTGGCCCCCTGGGTCTGAGTGTTTGCCTCTACCAACCAGTGGGTTTCAGGGTCTATGGGATCGTCTTCTAGGGTGTATATCAAGTGCACTGCGCTGCTCACGCCGTGGGTCCTGGCCCTCAAATCGATCGGGTTTGGGTCCAAACCCCGAGACTGGACCGGGCCGGTACGATGTTGGACTTGACATCTCAGCCTGGGACAGGTGCGTTTGATGAGCCTGGTACGTTGAACCGCTACTGGGACAGGTGGTTTCTCAAAAAGATGAGTCCGACAGGTGGGATCAATCATCCACATGTACAGGTTGAAAATCAAGACCCTGGAAGTGCAAAGACTATATTTTGACCGGCTGAAGGATCCAGGAAGTTCCCGAACTCAGGTCCCCTAGTCAGACCCTTCTTTTTATAGTCTTTGACTCCCAGGGAAGATATATTCTGATACCACCTTGCCTGGCAATGGCTTTGAGCCTTTTTATCTAAAATAAAACACAGTGGGCGGCCCGTTCCTCTCTATATCTGTCCAACCCGGTTCAACCCTTCCTTGTTTCTGATGGTCCATCTAAACACTGAAGGTCCAGTTCCTTCATTCGTGAGAAAAGCAACAAGTCATCTTTGAACAAGAACGGTCCCAGCCATCTTCGTGCGGAAGACGGGCTCTGTGTCCGCCCTTGGCTCAGAAATCAGGCTCTGCCACTGGTCTGCCACTGGTCCCATGCCCTTCGTGAACCAACCAACTTGGGGTGCGCCAAGGGCCATCTATGCGTCAAACATGCCACGTGTCACTAGGTCGCACCCCTGGCTGGCACGAAGAAGATTCGGGGGTGGGTGAGGTCAAAAGCAAGTACCTATACAGGTCAATGAACTCATTTTACTGGACGTGGTCATGCAAAAGCACTACTTCAGGATGTATACAAACATACGGTTTTACTGGGTCAGACTGGACTTGTTTGTAGGGCTAGGATGGGCTAGGGACCGGGCGTCTCCTGTCCCAGTAGCTCCCAGAAGCGTTGCTCCGCGCCCCGCCGGCTGCGCCGCTCGCCGGCCGTGACCGTCAGTCCACAGGCACAGTGGACGGCCTGAGCAAAACACAGGGCTTGTGGAACAAGTCGGAGATCTCTAAAGTCTATATACCAGGAGTCATAAGACGGGGTGGTGTTTAGTCCCTAGGTGAGTGGATAATGGGCACCCCGAACCTCCATTGAGCACCCCTTTGTGACTGCTGGTATAGATATCAAGACAGAGGCACCCTTTGTCTAGAATGTTTCGAGTTATAGGATGTCAAAAAGGATGTACAGGTCATGTCCCATGTTCTATACATGTCTTTTTGGCTCGGGTCAAGCGGCGCCCGGCAGATTTGAATTAAGACATGGATCCTTGGTCTAGTCAGACATGCTGTAGCGTGGCGACGGGAAGGATAGACCTCCAGCACTCCGATCCACATCTGCTGCAGCGTCAAAGGCAGGCGAAGCGAAGCGAAGAATCTTCGAAGGCCCAAGCGATTTAATGGACTGAAACCAGCACCACCAAGCTGGACCCGACTTCAAGTACCAGAAAATGGGACATGACCCTATTACCCAGACACGACCCCCGTGGCATCACCCCAACTGATATGGCAGTCCCCTTAGTTGTGTCTGGGTTAAAAGAACACGACAGCACCAGGTCGTTCCCAAACTCCTTTCATGGTCCAGAAGGCGCACAGGCGCGCCTGTCTTCTTCCCATGGGTCGCGAACGTGTTCGCGAACGTGATCCTACAATCGCGCTGTTCAGGGTCACCTCGTGTGAGGGCGAACTGGAGAATAACTCAAGCCGACTATGTCCGTCCAGGATTCTCTCATGAATTCTTGCAGGATACACACCGCACACCGTGACAAAGTACCGTGCGCTACGCACTCCCGCGCGCAAGCGCAAGCGAGCCTACGCGCACTCCGGTCCTACATCGCTGGCGCGGACGTCGACGGCCTCATCCTCCAGAACTTCTCGACAACTGGGGCAGATCCACCGGCTGAGCACCTGACGGAAGGAGAAGGAGCGATCTAACTGAAGCGAAGGCGGCGGAAGTGACAGACGGTTGAGCAGGTGAGAAGCAAGGTTTGAAGCCCCAACAAAGCAAGAAAAGAGCCCAGGTTCGCGCAAAGATTCAACGGCCACCCTCTAGAAAATCCTGAAGTGAAGCAGGTAAAACCTATTGCTAAAATAGCACCAGCAGCGTTGCTAGCATCCTCAAGCTTTGCACTAAGCTGTTGCATTTCTGACATGCTTCAGGAAATCATCAAGTGTGACCTGAATAGTTCCTTATAGTCATTATCATCAGAGATGCACGGCACCCAGATTTCTGGAGGTTCTTCGTTTGGTAGGAAGGTGCACCCTTGCAGACTCCCTTGCAGTTCCTTGCCCACACAGTATGATCCAGGAAGTCTGACCTTCCTAACTAGATCAACAGTGTGAGAGGTCGGTCTTAAGTCCGGAAGGTCTTGTTTTGGAACTCACGCACGCATTTGCTCTGCACATGGCAGGGGTCTTGTGCCGACCTTGTTTTTGGGAGCAAGCAGGGTTAGAAGAGCGATAGGTGACCAGGTGAGCTCTCTCTTGCTCTCTGATAGAGTCTGCTGAAATATCTACTTCGAAGATCCTCCTCATGTTTCAGTTTAGTTGGGTGTCGACAACTCTCTACATCAAGTCTTTGGGGATGCATCCAGGATGTACTTCTTCACCACATTCCACTTTCCACCCTGGCCAAAGCCGCCCAGGCACATCGCCGCCCTGGCCAAAGTTGGCCGCACAGCGGGGGCAAAGGCACTTGGCGCCAGTCAGCTCCAGGAAGAAGTAGCGTCTGGAGCGACGTCCGGGGCACGCGCGACGTCCGGGGCACTTTAATCTCTTCTCGCACGTTGCGACGTCCTCGCGGAGTTTGGAAGTTTCGGGTGATTGAGTTTGTATAAACCCGTTGGGCCGAGGGTGGGTGACGAAAGCTAGGGCGAACGTGAAGCGGGGGATCAAAACAAAGAAAGTACATGAAAGTACGTACTCCAGCTAGCTGGTGCTACCAACAGAGGTTGAAGAACCCTATAGACTGTCCCATAGGTACACCAGTAGGGTCCTACAGTAGATGGACAAATTAATCAAACCCTAAACCACCATAGCAGACCACCACCCCCGCACCCCCGATTTCAATGTTGTCTCAGTGAAAAGATGTTTTGTTGTCAGGGGTTTGATTTGATTCGTCCACTCAAGCCAACCTCCTTCACCAACAGGCCAACATTGAACTATGGGGGGTAGGGGGTGAAGTCTGCAAGGGTTTGAATAATTCGTCCACCTACGGTAGTTCAGGACACTTAACCTCTCTTGGTAGCTTTCGTGAATAACGCCCAGTATCCCCGGTTCTCTCATCGACGTTTAACGGGTGATCTCAGAGTCCGGCCGGTTCCTGTCTTCAGAGCCCCATCCGCCCATCGCCTAAAGGCCCCGGGCCCCTTAGTGATTGCTGTGTTTGGAATTCCCAGACACGACACATGGGACTGCCATAGGACTGCCGATCAGGCCAGGGGTGGTTTGAGGGGTCAATTGATCGGCATATATGGCAGTCCCATGGAGTGTCTGGAATTGCCGAGTTCGCCCAACGAATCCGCAAATACCCAATGGATGGCTCGATTCGTCGATGTTTCAAGCGAGGTCTACGACCTTCCGAGGGTCTCCCATCGCCGGTCTCACCGCTCGACCACGGTGAGACCGGGTCTCGGAGACCAAATCTCTCCAACTCATGACTCATCCAACTCCTGGACCCTCCAAGGGGTGTCCTGGCTGGACTACCCCACACTACCTAGGATGGCTTCCAGACGGGGCACCCCTTGATGGGTCCTGGCTCCGGCCATTTCACTGCAGGTCCTGCCGGTGCGGTCTCCCCAAATTCACCACCCACCGTCCTCTGAAACCCAACTCCGACCGGGGAGACCGGGAGACCCGTCGGTCGACGTCCTCACCGATGTCTCCGATGTCTCCTGTCGCCCGGTGACATCAAAACGTCTCGATAGCCTTGAGAGCACGTCTTGAAACTCATCAATGTACGAGACGAGGATCTCCTGGCGCCGCCATGTCTGTCATCTGTTCGACGACCCAGATCGACTCGGCCAAACACGTACGAAGAAGGAAGATCAGCGAGCGAACGCTGATCTTCAGCACTGTGGTGTGGAAAACCGTTCGAAGTGATGGGTCCTCCCGGTCGGTCGCGAAAAAAGAACACGTATGAACACTGGAGATTTCTTTGGACTATATGCGTGTAAGGCGATAAGTTATGGTCTTGGATGGTCCATGGATGTCCACCCCGCCCGTGGACTCATCGCTGAAAAGATCCGTTCGCTGTGAAGTTCGAACTTCATCGACGTGAAGGAGTGCCGCCTCCACAGTCTCGCTCTGTCTGCGTGGTTTCCCCAATTCTCTTAGTGTCTGATGACTTGGATTGGCTGCTTCAGGAACCCGGAAAAAGAGACTCGGAGACTCCGACAGGATGGTCCAGGTAGACAGGCATGTTGGAAACACTCGTCAGCGAACACAGAAAACATGGAAGTCGATGGCCTGGCCGCCTGGCCCCTCTCCAAGACATTGGAAGACGACGTCTTTTCCTTTGACGAAGATAGGGGGTGAACTCCACGTGTACGGGACTTCTGTGTTCGTGCCTTCGGGGGGACCATCACAGTCCGACCATCGGACGTCGGGGTCTCGACTTCCGTACAAGACTTGTGGATCTCCAGCCAGGGTGTCCCCAGGACACCCTTCTTCGGTCCAGAGTCATGGCATCCCGCGGTCTTCTTTCGGCATCGCCCAGTTCGGGAAGATCACAAATCCACCCTCTTTTCCGCCAAACTAGGTACATGTCCCAGGCAGGACTAATGGGACTGCCATATGACTGCCGATCAGTTGGGGCGGGTTCGGGGTGCCAATGGGGTGGCATATTCCAATCCCATGTGTCGCGTCTGCTATATATATTGGGTCTATCATCCTACTACCTGTAACAGTGGATGATGATGGTTCAGTTGCAGGCCTGGTTCAAAAATAGTAATACTTGTTTACTGACTGTTACAGGTAAGAACGGACAAACCCAGCCTATACATGTGAGAGTACATGGAGGAGATGGTGGGAAGGTCCCTCGACTCTACACCGGCACCTTCGACTCTCCACCTGGAATTCAGACCCGGTCCTCCCCCTCTTGAATGGGCCGGATGCAGCGGAGCGTGCCCAAATCGTTCAGGTAGCTGATCTTGGCCTCAGCCGGGCAGCGCTTCATCGAATGAAAGCGCTGTCGCGCCTGTGGGGTGGATGGCCATGGCCAACCGGTGATGGCACCTGACGGATCTACACATGGTGTCGTTTCACGACGGGAGCGATTTTTCACAGGTGGCATCACTTGATTGAATATACCAGGAGTCACGTTCGACGGGGTGGTGTTCGGTCCCATCCAGTGAGTGGAGTAGCTGGGCACCCCTAACCTCCATTAAGCACCCCTTTGTGACTGCTGGTATATATATATATGACGCTTGAATTGAATGCAAAGCAGTGCACGTTGCAAGAAAAGTTGTACCAACAGAGGTTGAAGAACCAGAACTAGACTATCCCAGTTGGGTACCCCAGGTGACAGGTCCTATGAAACCGGTCACTGGCTACCTCTCTTGGTATGTCGAGTTGCAGAGCTTTCGTCCAGCATTGAAGGAAGAAACATCGGCAAACAAGTCTAAGTGGTGCAAGAAAGAACTCGCTCCTCGGGGACCCGCTCCTCGGGGACCTTTTGGGAGGACAGATCGTGGATAGATCGAGAGGAAAAACATCCGGATCAAACCGGTGCATGATTCTCGGGAGGTTTTCCCACCCTATAAGACGATCCGCTCTGGGAAGGCTTTGCTTCGGGGCGGATTCTTAGGGGGACGTCCACCGTTGGATCTCCTCACCCAAGTCCCAGGTGGTGCGACAGAGCACCCCGAAGACTGGTGAACGGTGAAGCTCGAACGTGAGCGGTGAAGCTCTGGGTGTGTACTCTCCGGTGACCTTCTTTCCAACACCAACAAACATGGAAGAAAAACCAGGACTCAGGACCCTGAAAAACAGGAAACATTGTCTTCCGGGGGCCATGGCGCCATCCAGTTTGTTTCATTCTTTCAGGGAGTGTAAAACTGATCATACCCTCCACGCATGGAATATATATGTGCCTTACGTTGATCCCCCAAACCACCCTAATTTAGGCAAATATATGGCATACTGGCATACATGGAGCGTCTGGGTACGCAGTTCCCTGTGCAGAAGGGGACGAACGGTCTCCCAACTTGGAGGCTGTGCACGTCACCGGACGTCACATCTCTGATCATACCAGGATCATCCAATGGGTGTCCAATAGACTACCCTACCCTATGTAAACAGGTCTCCTACTCCAGGGCACCCGGACAGGAAGTGCTAGGTATCTGCATATGTGGTATATCGGTATGTCCGCCCTTTGGATACTGATGGTGAGGTCGCTGGCCGACATCTCAGGAAGCATGATAATCTTTTATCGACTCGTATACTGGACTGGTTTACTGGGACACACGAACAGTCACCCTATATCTGCAATCATGTGATACAAGACATGTCAGACAGGCATGCGTACCAAAACAAACCAACAAAAACAACATCCACGAGACCAAATAGTTGGGCCCCAAAACACCAAATCCATTGTTTCTTCAGAACCCTAAGAATCATTGGACCCGACCACTTCTGGAGGGTTTGGATCCTGCAGAACGCAGGGGTTTGGACCCGAACCTCCCCACACCCCAACACCGCCACTGAGGGTCCTCGATGCTTAGGGAAACTTCCAAAAACACCCAGTGGACCGGCCGTTGGACCGCTGAAGAGGGGCGTCTCGACGCGGACCGCCCCGGTCGGCCCGGAGCATGGCACATTGGGGCAGCAGGAGTGGTTCAGCAAGGAGAAGGTCAAAGGGATGATGCGGTCCTTGCCAATCCTCAGGCCGGGATGCGGAACCCGCGGCATGAAATCGAAGCACGTCCTTCGCTGTGGTTCTCTGTTTGTAGGGAACGTGATTTTCAAAAAAAGGTCCTCAAAGCCTCATGACGCCGTTTGTGATATCATCCAAACCCATCCACGAATCAACATGAAGCTCCGCTAAGCTCCGCTAAGCTCCGCATAGCTCCGCCAGTGTCTGGGTCTTCGGATGGTCGCAGAGCTCCGTCTCTAAGAGTCAACGAGACGACAGGGCCCTACCCCCCCTTCACCGGATGACAGGACTCGCACCAGACAACCGCTCCGTGACAAACAGCCCGACCGGTCCCGTTGATTCCAAATCTCGGGATTTGGGGACTTGAGGGTCCAAGCTCTCCCAAGAGAGGTTAAGTGACCGTAAATAGGACCCTACTGGGGTACCCAACTGGGATAGTCTAGTTCTGGTTCTTCAACCTCTGTTGGTCCATGTGGAGGCTCCAAGCTCTCGCGTCTGGGCAGGTGGTGACGCTTCGTCACGGGAGTCAAGTCACCGAAGGTCGGAGAAGAGACGAAACGCCGCAGGCGGCGCGGGTCGAGCGCGACTCCTCCTTCACCCGTCCATGACCATCCCGAATCGGGACGTCCTTTGTTAGGCCCCAGGAGGTTCGACCATCCGAATCGGAGGCACCTGGACCCTATGAGTCAAAGACTGAAGAAGCAGCAGCCCAACCAACAGAGGTTGAATGACCCTATAGACCATCCCATAGGTACCCCAGTAGGGTCCTATTTACGGTCACTTAACCTCTCTTGGAATAAGCAGCCCGCTCCGTGGGTTTCCGGTGCAGCGACGCTCGGTGCCCCGAGCGGAGCTTGAGCTGATCGCCAGGGGTTTTGGAACGCCCGAGCTTCACCGTGGAAGGTGTCGGGACACTGCCACACGGCTGAAGCCCTCTTTCACCAAACAAACAAAGACGAAGGTGCCTACAAAACTCCGAAAAACTTGGGTGAGTGAGAACTGGCTCAAACAGTCATACCATGTCATATCCATTGCCGATGAAATTCCCCCAAAACTTCTCCCTCACATCACCTAATTTAGTGCAGACTCTTGATTAAGAAACCCCCCTATGAAGAGGTGTTTCAATTCAATTGGGGTAAGCCATTACGGCCCGAACCTTCGCGCGGTTTGGCTGTCAGCTGTGGTTCTCACCACGGCTGCAGATCGGGTCATGCCACTGACGCCATGTCGGGACTACATGTACACTGGGAAAGTCAGATCAACGGAAAAGATCCTGAGTACTCAGAGGAGGCAGATCCGAATTGACAGATGGTGTACCTTACAGGTCTGCCATGACTTCGCTGTCCTAGAGATTTGGTCGGAATCCTTGGATGGTGACAAGCCAAGCCGGTTGAAAGTGCGACGTGCTGTGTATGAGGACCTCCTGTCTCAGAATCCTGAGAAGTGGTTTCTCTGTGAGATACAGGAGACTTGGGGAACGACATGGATTGCCGCTTGGAATGACCCACATGTTAGCGAAGGCACCCAAGAGGACCAAGGCCCACATGTGCCCATGGTGGATCACCTGATTGCGACACAGGCGACTCTCGAATGGCTTGTGGGGATGAACGAAGAGGTCTTTTTTCGCCAAAGTATCGAAACGATCTACATGGTGAATGTTCTAGTGACTTGGTTTCGATTCGGAGTCAGCTTTACCAAATCACTGCGATGGTGCCGTGCTTTGATCTATAGCATGACAATCAACGCATGGCCGAACAGAAGCTGGAGAAGATCTTGCCTCGAATTTTGGCGGCGCAAGGGAATTGGGTGCTCGCGAACGCTCAGCCGATGGACAACACCTCCATCTCAAGACCAACATCTCGAGTTGAATGATGCGAGAAGCAAGCACATGACCTCCAGCGACATGCCAAAATCCCCATGTTTTGACCACTCAAAAAAGGATCAAGATGAGGTAGGGACAGATGAACCACCTCCAGATGTTGAGAGCGTCAGTGAAACTAAGAAAGATCAAGAAGGGACAGGGCAGAATGAACCGTCCCCTAGCGGTCTGAGCACCCTGGGAGCCATCCGGACACAAGATGAGGTAGGGCAAAACAAACCACCTCCAAGAGTCTCCGGTGCTTGTGACCTATTGTTTGGCAGCCGTTTCTACCCTTGCTCGACAGAGCACCCCGGGGCGCGCATAGGGAGCACTGCCATGGGCATATGCAACTACCAGGGTCTCATACCTGAAAGACTCGTTTCGGAGGGTGATACGTTGGAGAAACATTTGGCCAAAAAGCGACAATACCCTCTCGTGGCCGCGGGCGGGGCGCCCACTTGGACATCAGCCCGAGCGGCCTTTTTGCGCCCGCACGCAACCTTGGGGGAGCGTTTTGTCTTCGCACAAGAAACAGAGGGTTGGATGGCGACAGACGAATGGGCATTCATGGCCAATCGTATGAGGAGAGCCGAATCCCATTTTCATTTCCTGCCAGCAGCCATATATTCGACTGTGACGGATGAATTTGTCTTTGAGTGCAATGAAATCCATATACCAAATACTGGTATCAGTTTGCTTCCTATTCTCTACGGAGCGCACTGGATGGGGGTCGAGATTGATAAACAGCATCAAATGCCAGAGGTGGCCATACTTCAGTGCCCACAAGCAAATCAGGTCAGACTCGAAATGTTCATCAGTCACATCCTTCAGATCCCTGGCCATCGCCTAGTCATAAGACACTGGAACAATACTGGCCCTCCAAACATGTGTGGATGGTCGTTAGTGTGGAGATGGATGGTCTTGTCCCATGCACAACATACATTTGCGAGGACCCTTTCAGAATTCCAAGGTTTGGCTGACGATCGCAAGAGAATCATAGCAAGAGTCCTTGAAAAGTCGGCACAAGCATGGGCACAAACACAGGCTAACACAGAACTGCAGCAAGTTGCGTACACAATACGGCAAGCTTTTCTTACACATCTATTCCAGTTCAACACTAGTGTACACACTCGACTTGACACACTGGCCATTTGTGCTGCAGGTCATCCGCTGTCTGTATTTGGCCAGTCAACTGCCGACTCCCCGGAACGACAAATCAGTACTGTTGCTACCCAGACGACTGAGCTAACAGCCGAAGAGCAAAACCTAGCAATTGTTCCAGTGCATCACAATATCCATGTCCATGCTGGAGCCCAGACCGATTTCCTTGGGGAGGAGTTTGGGGGACTGAGAATCTCTCAAAGTGGGCCAGGATTGCAGAGAACACGCACCAGGGTCCAAGAATTTTGTGTCTACCCAGCTCTAGCAGCATCGGACGAACTGGACTACACCATCGACATATGCCGTCATTTTGCAGGCCATGTGAATTTCCTTCCATGTTGTATGTGGCAACCGGGGGCAAACGATATTGAGGTCATTTCCAATAGGCGACCCAACACAGCCAACCACCTTGAGCATAGATTCTTGGTTGCCCGCCAACATCACTGGTTCGCTGTGCATGTCCTGTTTGACGGGGGGCTTGTCTGGATACATGTGTACGGTTTTCCCTCACAGGAGGCCCAGGATTTCCCAGCTTTTCTGCAAGCACTAGCACGGTTTCTGCAGGTCCGAACACACAGGATTAGAGCACACCAATTCCCGTACGACTGCCCAGATGGCATGTGCGGCTTCAAAATGTTACAAGGCTGTTTCGACGCTGCAGATGTCACATTCATGCCGTCTTGTGAAGAAAGCGTGCACCAACTTCAGACACACCAATGGGCCGAGGACTTCGCATACATTGGAAGATATGCGGTCAGGGCGTGGCGTCTAGCCACACAAGACCACTTCCTGATTCAATTCGCATTTGCTGTCCGCACCCTGTTCTTAGCACACCTCATGCAAACGCAATGGGTTGATAGGCATGTACGGGGAGGAGGCCCTGAGATTACATGGAGACCAGGACAACCATTACCTCCACTGAAGCACAACACCAGGAGTACTATGGCTGATTTCGTAAGAAAACACCATCCTGTCGAAGCCTTGTGTCACTGCCACACCAGAGGTGTCTCAGCCGAGGCCATAGTGGGGTCGTTTGCTCAGACCTGGAACGAGTATGACCTGGTTACATGCCGTCTTTGTAGCCCACACGTTGTCAGGAGCAAATGCGTAGGAGATATGGACTTTTCCTGGCCGGAATGTACACATGATAAGTCCACATTTGCCTTTCTGTCACTACCAAGTCGCTTGAGACATTTGATAGGACAAGACAGGAGGATCTTTATCATTGAGGCAAGGCTGTTGTGGGTTGACGGAAAATGCATCATTGATGTTCGTGCACCTCAGGCGGGAATCATGCCAATGCATCCTGACAATCCTGATAAACAGAAGCCAATTAGAATAGGAGAATTCTTCGCAGGTGGATTTTCTGGATGGAGCTTTGCCGCCAAAACATTAACTGATGCCTTTCTGCCAGTCAAACAAGTCTTCTCCATAGAAAACGACATCCTCGCTGCCAAAGTTCATGCACGGAACCATTCCAACTTCCCTCCAATTGGCTCTTCCGACCAAGCCTTCGACCTAGGAGAAACAGGAGAACCACCCAAAGAGCATTTGACGATAGTGGCAAACATCGAACACGGTTGGTGGTGTCATCTAGTGGAACCGATCGACATACTCGCAGCATCTCCACCTTGTCAACCTTGGAGCAGAGCAGGGGCCGAAAGAGGTCTAGACTGTGAGGAGGGCCGGTTGATCATATATGCCATCATCCAATGCACTTTCTTGCAACCGGCAGTCATCGTCCTTGAAGAAGTTGCTTCCGTGTTTGCACACACACATGCTCCCTGGATTATTGCGTTCTTCGACTGGGCAGGATATGAGATCATTTGGAAGGAAAATTTGAACTTGCTAGAAGTTATGCCACAGTCACGTACAAGACTTATGTTAGTGGCCGTGCGCAAAGGGGATGCACGCATCAAACGCCTGGCACCAGGGTCTTGGAAAAAAGCCGATCTAGCTCCAACACTAAAGTCAATTCTCTTGC